CAATTTGACCGTATGGAGCCTGCCATTTGTTAAGGTTGGGACTTATTAAGGCTTTTAACACTGAAGCAGAAGAATCCTAAAAAAATCCATGACAAATTACAACCATTTATATAAAACTGCAGCTGTGAGTTATTTTAGTAATCAAGTACACTGACAAGTATCCCATATCAGTGACATTCACATCCAAAAACTGACTGCTGTCTACAGTGGAGTAGACAGCAGTCAGTTTTTGGATGTGAATGTCACTGATATGGGATACTTGTCAGTGTAATGTCTACTCCACTGTAACCTATGTTGTCCGCGATCAAGACGAAAACCACATTGTAAAAGAAGAGAAGCACTAAAGTGCTGACTGTCATCATTTGTCCCACAGTGAGCAGTAAGATGCAGCGCTTTAGTGACAGACTTCGGCCTGCAGCGTCACTGAAAATGACTTCTTTGTATTTGAAGAGCAGGATACTGCTTCCTTTCACTCAGACACTGAAGTTATTGAATATTTGAGGATCCCGAACTTTTTCAGGATAGACTCTTTCCATGAAACACAGCAATACCCTCGAGTGTGCCTGTGGAGAGCTTCTTCAATCTGGGGAGTCTTGTGCTAACTCAAAGAAGTCAAAGGAGGAACATATTGGATTTAAAACTTCTCCCCATGAGGTTTAGTCCACTGGTAAGCTATTATTTGGCAAAGGAGCAGCTTTTCCCCTATTTTCAGTATTCCATTTTAACATGCTTTTTCCTTTTATTCATTTTTTTCTTGCACATATCTAACAAGCCTGTAAATTTCTTCATCTGTTGTTTGACTGATTTTGCTGTGACCTGTCCATAGTTGGATCCAATATACTAATAGGTGTAAAAAGGAAATCGAATGAACAACACTTAACTCTTAATTCTAAACCTGCACAGTGTATTTAACCTTCTACAGCCCACTGTTGCCCTCTGACCCTCACCCAACACAATCTCAAACCGAAAAAGTGTTAGACCTCCATATTTACCAAGAGATATGAACGCAGACATTATGACTTTTCTATTAAAGTTAATGTCCACACTTATTAATAGACACAGACAAAATAATAGTTACTAAAGCCCGAGCCACCAAAAGGGAAAAAGTTCTCTGTGTCATTCTACCCGACCAAAGAGACTTTATGAAATCCAGAAATGTGCAGATTTTTAAATGTGGTCAGCTTTACTAGAAACCAGAGAACACACAGATTACCTGATTTGTCTACCCTTTTTTTCTTTAAATGATATATTATAGTCTCTCTTGGGTTGCTTTTGCAGTTTGTTTTGGATCGTTATCATCTGTGGTGATAACTGTGAACCTCTTTCTGCTCAGTGTTGCAGCATTAGTCTAAATGTGAGCAGAGTGCTGCCCTGTACACTTCACAATTCATCCTGCTGCTTCTATCAGGAGTCGCATCATCAACAAACACCAGTGACCCGCTTCCACTGGCAGCCGTACATGCCCATACCATAATGCTCCCTCCACCATGCTGACAGATCATGTGGATGCTTCAGATCATAATCTTCTTTCTTCATACATTTCCTCTCCATCATTCTGCGAGTTTCAGTGAACAGATGGCAAATGCAAGTTCAACACTTAGAACTGACTCCAGATCTTTTATGGGTCATGAATCAGTTTGTCATCAACTGCTCAGTTACTTTTGAGCCTCTGGAAGTGGGAGACTGTAAAAATGGCCATAATTCCTAAAGAGTTGATTCGGTTCTTTGTTAAACCCTTTGAATTAAAGCTGATAGTCTGTACTTGGACAGCTGCAGAGCAGAATCAGTGAACAGATTGATGTCTAATGAGCCCCTGCTGTGGGATGGGGGGTGTGAGCAGGCACACACAGATTTATACACACATTCACACGATGCATACATCCATCCATGGGAGGGTGAGGATTATCTTTGCAGGCAGAAAGACAAGAAGATCCGGTTTAGCCACTTAGAAGTCTCTACTGAGCGAGCCTCTTTACCCACTAACCTGGATGAAGTCTCTAATTGACACACAAATTGTCATGCTAAAGAAATACTCGCTGCTTTTATATAGAAAGCACAGACAGCTGTCATTTATTTCTTGAGTAACAGTTTAAAAGTGACTTTAAAGATGTTCATGTTCAGCAAAGGAGAACTCTGCCACTAAGGTACCAGAGTCTAGTGGCATGAGTGGAAAGCATGAATCAGCCTCAGGGCAGAACTCTTCAGCTCAGGAATGTGAGAGCTCATTAATCGCTGCAAGCAAGACTGAATATCGAATGTAAAAATGCAGCAGAGCTGCGAGTGTGCGTTGCTGATGTCCTCCTTTATGTTACAGCTTCACTGCAACTCTCAGACGTTGGACAAAGACAGAGTTAAACAGAGCTTGGCGTTTGTGGCCAGCCAATGAGAAAAAGACTCCTTGCTAAACAGACAAAATGTCAGATTTCTGTCTTGGCTACAGAGCAGTCAGCAGGATTCTTTACAGCTTGGTTAAGTACCTGACGTAATGATAAAACCTCCCACCAGTTCATGAATGAGAGGCTCTAAAAAGCTCTGTTATACAAAGACTGTGTGTCTGTGAGTTTGTGTGTCTGAGAGAAATAGTCTTGTCCTTTGGGTGTGTAAGGATTCCCCTGTTTCGTTCTGACTTCCTGCTTCCTGTCTGTGAAAGGGCTGACCAAATCAGTGCATGTACGAGAGCTGAATGCAGCTTTGTGTCTCTGTCACTTGTCAGTAATAAGTGTGGTTTGAACAGTAAGTGAGTCATGCAGACTAGGGCTGGGCGATATGACCCAAAATTCCTATCTCGATATTTTTTAGCTGGATAGCGATATAAGATATATATCTCGATTTTTTTTTTTAAAGCCATAAGTTAAGAACAAAAAGAGAGTTCTTAGTCACACTGTGTCCCAGATGTCACACGGGCACTTTTATTTACATACAGCGTAGATATTACTCAAAAATAAATTATCAGCATTTATTAAATAATCATGGTCCATAAATAAAAGAAAACAATGTTGTTTTTGTGCATAACAAAAAGCTCACAATTGTGCAGTCAAAATGTAAACTAATAGACGCTGAGCATAATAACAAAGAGACAGATTTCACAGCTGCACCACGTCTCTGAACAGGTGCCATTTGTGGTCCTTATACACACACAGTACGTATCACTCCGCGAGGCTCCTCCCCCGTAGCCGTAATCCTCCGACAATCCATCAAGCCGTGCAGCTCCGTAGCTTAGCAAAGTCATATTAAAACATTTTTTGACAGATTGCTGAGCGCTGTGTACCACATAAAATCGGTTCGCGGTCAGTAAGCACAACCAGAATTCATACATAAGGCGCACTGTCGATTTTTGAGAAAAGGAAAGGATTTTAGGCCGTGCAGCCCCTCCGGGCTGCATGTCGTTAGCGCGGTTAGCTCGTTAGCGCGGTTAGCTCGCTAACATGTTGACGCCGTCCAGCCCCACGCACGGTAACTCGCTAACGGACATTTTCCGCTTTCATCTTGTCATTGCCTGCAGGTGAAACTATGGGGGAGGGGGAGTTGGGTTCAGTGAAGGAGAGGCGAGGCCGAGTAACGTTGTGTAGAGACAAAAGTGGACGAAAGAGAGGCAAACCTGCGGCTCCACAAGTATAATTCTAACGTAACATAGACTATATCGATATAAACGATATTGTCACATCTTATATCTCGTATGAAAATATATCGATATTTTTTTTTAAAAAACTCGATATATCGCCCAGCCCTAATGCAGACTGCTACATTGTCAAGTTAAAGCTGCAACAAGTTCTTGCCATGTGCTGAGCGACACTCTGTCCACCTGCACGTCTCCACAGCTGCTGCACAGTGACAGACTGTGCCAGACTATGGTGCTGCCGTCACAGTGCCACTCCTGTAGTCTGACATTCAAACTGCTGCTCATTCTAGCAATTCAGCTACTGCTAATAGTGAAGCGTATGAAGCACTCTAAAATCTCATATTAAAAACCAAAGACAAAACATTCACAGCTAAGAAGTGTTTTTCTTTTCAAACAGATAAGATAATACGCTGAAGTAGAAAAATATTTTTTCCGCACACACAGAAAGAACATATCGCACATGCTCCACTTCCTAGGAATCCACTGCTTATTTAATGTTTGCGTCTGGAAAAACGAACATAACCCTCTTATCAGGTTAGGCTGCGCAAACATCTCACTATTACAGAACATACAACATATGGTTACTTGAAGGAAAGGACGTGGAAGTGTGTCAGTGTGTCAGTGTGTGTTAAACTTTGTTTAGATTAGACTAAAATGTAAACCATCACCAGTTTGTCTGTTTGTAACTGGAAGTCTCACAGAATCTTAGTTCGGTCATTCCCAACCACCCATTTTGGCTTCCAGGCCTTACTCGGCACGGATGTTTCTGTATACACTACCGGCCTTGGTTATGGCATTCCATGTATGCCCTGCCCTCCTGGCATCTTGCACCCTGCTGTTACGTGCTGGATTGTCTCAATGTCTGCGGTTTTGCCTTCTGGTAGTACAGTCTGATTACCTTCCCTCCCTTTGCTACAGATACATTTCTCCAGTCTGAATGACATTCCAATGTTATGATCCTCATGGTGTGGATCAGTGAGTAGATGTCTTGTTCACTGGCATGCAGCATATAGCAACTTTCCTCTGTGTTGCCTTGATCTTGGCCTCTGAATATAAAAAAACTAAATGCAAGTACCTTTATGTGCTGTGTTGGTTCAGAGTTTCAGTTGGCACATCCCTGAAAAAACTGCAGCAGTGTGTAAGAGGGTGGCAAGATGTTACAGTCTTTGCACACAGCTTCATCAAGCATGTATGTAATGTGTGGACGATGATGAAAATACAGTTTGTCAGCGAACACATCCTAGCATGTCATTTTCAAGAGAAGATAACTGTTTTTCACTTCAGCTGTTTCAGACCTTTCATGTTGCAGATCTGGTATACTTCCTGGTGTATTTCCTCTGGCACTGTGAATGTTACATCTCTGCTTTGCCTCTTCTTCTAGTGTCTGACACCATGAAACTGAATCCACGGGAAGCTCTGCTTTATGTAAGTATCTGTTGTTTTTATAAGGCATCATAATGAGCTGTAAAGGAGCTAGAATGTCTTATTAAACTTGCCTGGTGTGGCAAATGCACTTTAAACACCAGCTAGCCAGCTGATTAGCAAATATGCTAACACACTTCACTACCAAACAGTCAGCAGATGGCACAGACCCAGATCTGTCACATGCCATCATTTCTGTTTCGAGTGAGGTTCCTTTTGTGAAGCACAGGGGCCATACCATTTGAAAACATCATCTAGCTTCAGCCATACAGGCGTTTTCCAAACTTATAGGTCTGTTTTTCCATCTATCATCTGTGATAGAGTAGCTGATGTGAGGTAGTGTTTGCTGACTCTCAGCAATCTGTGAGCATTGCTGCAGTCAATCGCCGATGCCATGTTTGTGACACTGTTTTCTGTCAGGGAGACTGTGTGCTGACAGTGCAGCTTGATGAGGACGAAGAGAAGGAAGCAGACTTTTACCTGATTTTCTCTGGGTCTACACAAAGGCACGTGAGCAGTACACTGCGAGTGAGTCATGTCACACTGCAGGCCATGTGTCCAGGTATAACACACAAACACACGTGTACACATGCATGCACATGCACACACTCACACTCGCGCGGCTGGTTGAGTGGATTTTTGAAATACCAGAACAGAGAGTGCAGAAGTTTTGCAGGTGGATGAAAGTATGTGTGTTCACATGAGTGGAGCTGCTACACAGCCCTCCTGCTTTCACCGACCACTGAAGCAGTCCTGTGTTGGTTCCACTAATCCAGACTTGAGCTCCGTTAGGTTGGGATCTGGAGCCTGGGACCATCTGTACAGACTCACAGTGCAGACTCCTGTACTCAGTTCTTCATACTTCATGCTTTAGTGAATTTGTTTACTCTTTAATTGTCTTATGGATGAACTGAGGTAGATAACTTGTTGGTGAGTGAGTGATAATTTTGATGGTTTTGTTGATGTGCTGCTGACAACTCCACCCATAGATCACACATTAGCACACATCACGTATCAGGTTCTCTGCATGTAGATCACCTGCCAGAAACTGACTGTGTGTGTGTGTGTGTGTGTGTGTGTGTGTAGGCCATAATGTGTGTGAACAGGTCTTGGTGACACTGTGTTTGGCTCGCCCTGATGGATCAGTGGACACACACTCGCAGCAGACCTTCTCCTTTATACAGGTAACAGCATTAAAGAGCTCCTTTGGTTCAGCCCTGTCATGATGTCATGTGACTGGTGGGATGGATGGAAATGATGTGAGACTATTGCAGCAACTGATCACTTCCAATATGAGCACAAGAGTGTTAAAGTTTGGATTGTACGTGCCTGACAACAGAGAGCGGCAGACGTCTTCATATGTTGAAGAAAGCAGTCAGCACTGTGAGGCGGCAGGCCTGTTTACAATCCTGACGTACACATGAGCCAGTTTTATTTCTAATATGATTATTACTTATTAATGACTGCCACCCACAACTACAAGTATACCTGACTGAAACCTCCATCAAGGGACATTATTAACAACTCAGTTCTCAGACTGTGTGCACTGAGACTGAGACAGAGCAGAGTTTGCATCCATCCAGAAAGTTAACTTTAGCCATAATATAGATATATTACAAAATATATATTAGCAGTAATATAGATATATTACAGAAATGGGTCTGTTATAGGTATGAGGGTACAAAATATGGGTCTATTATGGGTATGTTACAATGTACACGATATGAAGGTACCGTATGTTATGAATATGCTATAACTATAAGTATGTACAGGCTGTAGTGGGTGTACAAGCTTTGTACAGGCTATGAACAGGATATAAATATGAAAACTATACAGAAATATGAACTATGCAAGTTATAAACAGTTGTAAACAGTTGTAGAATTATAATTATCGTATTGTACAGAATGTACAGAGGCTATATAAAGTGCAAGTGGTTGTGAGTGGTGGTTCAGTCCATGTTATTATTGTGTGTATGAGGGTACAGTTGGCCATTTGTTTGTTTTTGTCCATTGTGTGTGCGTAGGTGGTTGTGGGTGTGTGTTCAGTCCATGAGTTTAATGTGGGTCAGATGTCAGGAGGCTATGCTAGTAAACCTGTACCCTATTGGCTGGTGTAAAAACAAACATACTTTGTTTCTCAAGCAAGATAAAACCTAGTACAAATTCAGTTTCAGGGATCTTATGGTTAAGGATTTCTTAAAATATATATATTATAAAATAATATAGGTACCACAGTTTGGGAGCATGGGGCACCTTTGTGACATGTGTGTGATGAGTGTGTGCTGCAGGTCATGTTTGCAGTTTCCACAATGGAGGGTGATGTTTTTTTGTTCATCCTGTTTAAGAATGATGATTAGGCAGCAGAAAGCTGTGTGACACACATCCCTGTGAGGAAACAGGCAGATGTGAGCAGATGTACTTGAGTTGACAATTGACAGGTTTGACAAAGAGCCTGTAGGAGTGTATCTGAATGATGACTGCAGTGTGTGGTGTGCAGCACACAGAAGCATTCCTACTGAACCGGGAGCAGGTGAGTGAGAAGAGACAGAGGGGTCCTGAAGCTGCTGGTATTTAGAAGGAAACTCAGAAATTGAGAGTTTTGAAGAAGTGCTCAGCAGTGTGCCTCTGTTTGTGTGGTAGAGTCCAGAGGAAGCTGAGAGCCTGGCCCTGAAGCATGTCAGCCAGCCTCACCGCAGGACTGCACCACAAGCACCCTGCAGCACACACACAGATGTGCAGAAGGGAACGGTCACAGTGACGGACACGAACAGACCCGACACACGGATGGATGTCGCTTCATTTTGGAGCAGCTGCCCTGGTGAGTGAGCATGATTTCTGTGCAAACTACTGCAGTGAGAGTCAGCCTCACCTGGAAGAGGTTGAGAACAGACAGGTACAGGCTGCCCCTGCAGGGTCAGTCTTCTTCCAGTTCTCAGACGGTGACGGATTTTTCCAGCTCAGATGGCATTTGCATATTGTGTAATTTTAAAGGTTTGCTATTTAATTTTTTTGTATTCACCAAGGTGCCGAGCCAGAACCCACAACACAGCGTCCCAGCTTCAGAATGTTTAGCAGAATATTATGAAGGTTTATCTGGTTCCACCTGCAGACATGCACTACACACGTTTGATTAGCAGCCACGGCGGTCTGAGGAAGCTGAACCTTGTGATCCTCATACATCTTTTAGCACAGGGGTTTTATCTCAGTATGCACCAACATAGCACTTAACCAAAGAAGACCAGGTGTCCCACCCACAAGCTACTTCCTCTCCATGGGGAGCCCATGTGCTTCCAGATTATAAGGGGTATGTAATCCCTGCAGCATAATCTTTGTCTGCCTGTGCTCTCCTCCCAGCTGGACAGAATGTCTCCCTGTGGTGGTGTGCAGGTGCCATTGTGGTTGGTGGCTCACACCCAGTGCTGTGCAACTTCACAGAAGTCCTGTGGCTGTAATCTGCACCCACAGCTCATTGGTAACCTATGAAGAAGATATGGACATAGAGTAGCCGCAGCCATGGGTTTGTGAAGTTAGCTTTTTAAAAACTTGAGCTGGTATCATCTTAATTTTGTGGCCAGAAGTCTCCATACTGCGATAAGAGGATGGAGATTTTAATGAGCTGCATTCATGGGCTGTATGAATGCATCACAGATAACTGCTAACATCCACCAAAACTGAAGCACAGCCTTTTCATATGGTCTGTTAGCACTTGAACTGCACTTGAAACTATATTATTTAATAGATAATTACATTAAAATAATCCAAATACCAGCAGCACACACACTGTCCAGAGGGACTCAGGGACTGCAGTGAAGGCCTAGTTGGAGGCCACTTGGATAATAAAGCTAAACTTTTAGACTTGTTTCTATAAAAGGTCACAAGAGCAGGCTGAGGAGAATGCAAACAGAGGTTTGAGTCGTGTTCAGTCAGTCTGCGTGTCACTCTGCCAGAAGGAAAAGTCTCTGTTTATAACAGTAAACACAAGCAGAGCTAGCAGGTTTTTCTGTGTTACAGCACCAGCAGTGGTCCTCAAACGTCACACACAGCTCACTAAGGACTCTTCAGAATCACCCAACTCACTTCATGACAGTCGTGCAGAGCGTGCACAATGAATTCCACCTGCGTGCTCCAAGCTTGTTACACATGATGAATGTGCGTGAATTATCTTGGATGCATGAATCAGGTTTTCCTACCGAAATACTTCAACTTTGCCATTAACAGTGAGATTTCTCTAACGTCAGATGGTTCGTTGGATGATTTTGTAGCTTTAATAATGAAAGTTTGAATGAATGGAGACAAAAGCACCGTTGTTCTCCTTGTTTACACTGAACGTTACTGTTGAGCGGAGCGCCGTGTCCTGCTGCGTGACTTCCAGTCAGCACCAAATTGCTGTTATAATCTTCACTACGGTCTAAGTCAGCATTGGTTTAGTGTTTGTACTTTTCTGCCCACTGAAGCTTTAAACATTTCATGAAGCCTTTTAGGTCCACTAAATATGAGGCAAGTCTGTTTCTGCTGCTGTTTGGCAGCCCCCCTGATGCTCTAAGCACTGCTACATGACCCACATACATTTCCTTTTCACTATTTCTGCTTGTTGTTTTCAGACATTTCATCACACACACGTCTCTTAAAGATACAGAGTTAGTGGTAAATGGGCCGGCTCTTATATGGTGCATTTCTATCAGAGCACTCAAAGCGTTTTATACAAAATGCCTCATTCACCCAAGCACATGTTTCTATAAGAGTGCTTTCTAACATTCACAGATGTTCATGGAACAACTTTAGGTTGTTAGTATGTTGCCCAACTTTGGCACGCAGGCTGATATTTGGGATGCAGATTGGAGCAGCCAGGAATCAAACCACCAACCTTCCAATTAGCAGATGACGTGCTCTAACTTCTGAGCTACAGCCACCCTTACTCTATTCTTCTCTGTCCACCAGGAGCTGTTCTGTTTTCAGTTGAATCCAACCATCACATTTTCTCTCGTTTCTTCTTCTCCAGCTGTGTGTGAGCACCAGCAGCCCTCCAGCCTGCTGCAGCTCGCAGCCAGTCATGGTCTGAAGACGGCACCAACATTCCTCCTGCAGCAGCCCGCAGGGAAGGAGGCATTGCGAAGGACGAACACTCAGGGTTCAGCTCCAGCATGTCTTGCAAAGAGCAGAGGGAAGCAGCCACTTCTGGAGCTCTTCACACAGTGAGTACTGCTCATTAACGGGTACTAACTGAGGTTAAAGCTCCGAGTTTATCAAGAAGCTTTTGAACTGAAACACAGTGACAACATTCTGCACTCTTCTGTACACACTCCGGCACACAACAGGGGTCCAGTTGGCTGCCCCTCCCTGAGGGTTCTTCCTGTTAAAAGTGAGTTTTTCCTTCCCACTGCTGCCGAATGCTTGCTCAAATGTGGTTTTTGATTGTTGGGGTTTCTCTGTGGGTCTTTACAATACAGAGTGTGTTGAGGTAACTGCTGCTGTGAATAAAACTGAATAGAAATAGAACTGTCTTCAGTAAATCTGGTTTGCATTCAGTGCCAGAGAAATATGGAGATTATTCTTATTTTTATTAGTATTTTTAAAGGCATGAAAACTTTGGTGGCCACCATTGGGAGCTGAAAGGCACCAGTGTGTGTGTTTTGTCCTGTGCTGTGATCGGTCAGTGTGTTCATCGCTGCTGCCCTCAGTCTTCAGTGTGGCCACTAATCCTATTGTCCTGTTGAGCTCCACTAACAAGCTCCTAATATATTTAAAAGGGATCCAGTGAATATGTGCAGCACCACAGATGCTAGCTAGAGATGATGTTAGTGTTTTTAGCTCATGCTTTGGATGAAGTGTTGGGTCCCTTTTCAAAGCCTCAGCAGCTTTACTGAATGGGTGGTGCAAAGACTGTAGCAGCTGAGGACACAGTTGGGTGCTGTGTGTTTGCTGCTGTGTGCCCAGGCCTCTCACAGCTCTGTCACCGATGAGGACGAGACGGTGCAGCTGGATGTCTGCAGGTGAACTGAAGCGTTGCATTAAATGACTGTTCGGAGGAAACAAACCCCACCTAAAACTGTGCCGTTGCCCCACCTTACTGTTTTTCATTTTCGAAACATCTGTTTTCCAGGCCACAGTTACCACAGTGTATGCACGAGTGCCATTGTGGCTGTGAGGCAGTAAGCCGTGGTGACAATGATGTGTTCATAGCTGTGTTCAAACACACACAGTACCCAGAACTTTTATCCCCCAGCACATTCATCAGAGAGCAGGGCGTCATTTTTGCACAGAACAGCAGAACTAAATACACATATACTAGCCCAGTAGGTGGCAGTATTGCAGATGACTGTACAACAACAATAGCAGCATATAAAACAGACAGACACCTGCAGCAGGCATCAGAGAGCAGGTGATTGTGATTTCCTATTGATGGGGTCTGAAAGTCAGTGCTAGGAAAGAGACGAGCAGTAGATGCAAGACCCCGCTCTCCCAAACACAAAACATACATACATGACATCAACATGTTTGGGCCCCTGTTAGAGAGTTAGAGATCAGATCCTGTCCCAGCAGCAACGTTCCAAGTTCCTGGAAAATGTTTGTGTGTTTGAATCAGAGGGAGGGAGCTGGCAGAGTTCACAGAAACATGAGGCATTCATTTTGTCCCTGAGAAGAGCACAACACATCGAAGTGTGTGTGTCTGTGTGTGTGTGTGTATCAGTAGCTTTGAGCTCTGTGATGTGATCTGGCTGCATGGTTAGGGCTCCTCCTCTTTAGGGAGGGCATGGATGAGTTGTGTGTCTCAGAGACAGGAGGTGAAGTGTGTCTTTATTTGAGCTCTTGCACAGTTTCCTGATTCAGCTCCTCCCTCGTTGTGACTTTACTTTCTGTTCTAATCATTCCTGTGAACAGGTAGGAGCCCTGGGGTTGTATTTCTCTGTGTTTCCTGTTATCCTGGTATCTGGATCTGTGCACGTGCGCTACAGAGGAAACCAAGAAAACTCATTTTTTGTTGTTGTTGTCATTGCAGCTATGCAACGCTCCCAGATGTTCAAGCGGAAGCTGAGGAGACACTGCAGGTTTACCCCAAAGGTCAAGTGTTTCAGTACCATGCCAGTGTAGGTACCTACACCCTAACCTTCCTCCTCCAGAGGGAGGGGGACACAGGGACAGACAGCAGGGGGCGCTGCTGTTTACCAGAGGAAGTGATGGAGCTGAGGAGGCTGATGGAGGGTCACAAATCCACCGTGGTGAGTAGATAACATCAACAGTCACAGTGTGCAGAAAGACTTTTGCAGCTCTTTCCTGTTCCTGGCTGCTGATGGAATTTGGCTTGTTTCTTTGCTACTTTGTAGCTGCATGAGGCTTTCATTCATTATTGTATTTAGATTCTAATTGTCATAGCTGTGTGTGTGTGTGTGTGTGTGTGTGTGTGTGTGTGTGTGTGTGTGTGTGTGTGTGTGTGTGTGTGTGTGTGTGTGTGTGTGAACTTTTTATAGGGTAACTTGGTGAGTAGCGATGCTATTAAGCAGTGTCTGTAATATGACAATGGGATAATGAGGTCAAAGGGAAACTCCCAGGGCTCAACGTGCTCACACATGCATCTGCATCATTTCCAGGATACAACGTGAGCTTGCATAAATATGGGCTTTGCTGCTAATACAGAGCCAGCTGTCCTAGACAGGTGACCAGCAGAGGAGCGTTAAACTGTTTATACTGCACAGGTGTGGCATATGTGGCATGCGTCATGATTTCCATGAAGTGATAACATCCACCCAGTGGAAAACCTTACAGGAAAGCTTGAAGTAACAGAGCACTTTGTCCCAGCCAGCAGGTGTCACAGTCAGACCAGAAGAGTGAGACGCTGGACTGTGACCTGCTGTTTCCTGCAGGTCTGTGAGCCAGAGGAGTGAAGGCCAAATGAAATTAAAATTCCCATAAGTGTCTCCTTTCTTCTTCAGGTTTTAAACCTACTTTATGCAGCTCACCTGACAGTTCATGGCTGGCCTGAACATGTGAGTGGATAGCCAAGATAGCTTGTTTGCAGTGTAGGGATCAGTTCCACATACAGTGGGTTGCTGTGGTAGGCATGCGAAGCCTTCGTTTCCTTAATGAGTGAGTGAGCTGTATGACTATCAGCAGTTGTAGGCACTGATGGCTGTGACAGATCATCTCTTTTGTACGTCACTCTTTTGTTAGTTTTGAGATTAGCTTCGATCACCCGTTCGGGTAACAGCCATCCATCTGCTAATGTTGTCTTTCACGCATACTGAACAAACGATGTGCTAAACTGCTTCGTGGGTCATTTCTGCATGTTTCCATATACGATTCATTTGTATTTCTTTTCCTTTTTTCAGAGTTCAGGCTTCCACTCGCTGGAGGAGAGAACACAAGGGGACGACTCGGCTGCTGTCAGTCAAACATCCTGTACCAGTGGAGGTCTTTGTCAAAGAGAGGAAAAAGGGTGGGAACACCAGGGCACAGCAGCTGCCCGCACTGGGAGGAACAAGAAAAACAAAAAGAGAACCGCCAAAGTCACAAGACCTGCAGCAGAGTCTTCAGGAAACCAGAGCCGAGAAAGTGCACGGAGGCCTCGCACAGCAACAGGAAGTGGAACTCTCTCACCAAGACAACGAGCAGTGGCGACCGTGACTAATGTCGGAGGAACACAAGAAACTCCATCACCCATAAGGCCAGTATTGGGACCAGGTGTTGAAAGGAAGTGTGCTGGCAGGAAGGTGGTTGCCTTGCCTACGGCCAGTGTCGTAGATAAACAGGAAGACCAGAAACAGGAAGTGGAGCTGCTGATGCGTAAGCTGGTGTCAAAGACAGGAAGAGACACACAAAGTGTCAGCGCAGAAATCACAGTGGAATCAGCTGCAGATGGGACAGGTACGTCCTGTAACTGAATACACAACTTTATTGTGCTGTGCGTCGTCTGAGGTGTGTGCAAAAACGAAACGCTCTTTAACAACAAGTGCAGGCTGTGTAGAGACGAGAAGAAAAGGAACGATGAGCTTGTGAGTTTCTGGCTGTTCAGTTACTTAAAGACTCAAAGAGTAACAAACGAGACATCTGTGCATCTGTGCAAACTGCTGTTTGATGAAAACGTGCATACAAACACATTATCTGAGCTTTTTCATGTTTATGAGGTTTTTTCTGAGGTGTGTGTGTTTGGTCCTGTTTCCTCTGCAAACAGCTTGCTCAGATAGAGACACGATGAGCAGTAAGATCCGAACTCCACAGAGCTGAAGGAGCCCGGTGGTTGTTTGTTAGCTCACATTAAAGATGAGTTCTTTAAGGCGGCGTTGTTGTGTAGGGATTGTGTCATCATCACTAAAGACAAAACCTGCTGCAGTCTCAGATACATGAAGGAAGGAAAATGAGGCTCAGCAGGTCAGTCAGAAATCCATCCCAGCTCATCATCAGTCTGCTCGCCTCTGTCTGAAGTTGCGGTTTATCACAGCGTTGCAGGTAGTCTGTGTCAGGCCTGTTCTCACTGCTGTAGATGCAGTGTGTCTGTTTTAGGCGGGGTTCAACAAACTATTAACCGCTCCATCTGACATCACAGACCTGAGCTGGCAGGTCAGGGACTGTTTCATGTGTTCGGCATGCAGCTGTGGTGTGTAATGTCTGGCCTGGGTGTGTGATCCAGATCAGAGTAATCCATTTGATGAGTAAGAGTTAAGAGTTAAGCTGTGATAGACCTGTTTGTTCTGCAGTCCCTAATCTGCTCGTCTCCTTTCAGTGGCCATGGGTCAGGAGCAGTCCCAGGACAGTCAGACAGAGCAAGAGGAGCCAAGCCCAGTCGGCACTATGGAGAAAAGTCCTTCATCTGACCCGGGAGCCAGCCCCGAGTCCACACATGCTGAAAGGAAAGGCAGGAGAGTGCTATGGCGGGATGGAGGCTGGACCGGAAGCATAATGGGACCAGAAGCAGCCGGAAAAACCATCTGGTATGAGGAAGAAAACTTCGGACAAGTTTCCAGTGAAGATTCCGGGAGAACAGAAGTGAACTCGCAGTCAGTCTGGTACGACAGTGGCACCACGGGTGAGAGAATCCCCGGACAACTGGAGCAAGGAGTGACACAGAAGAGAAACTGCGATGCGAGCTCACCTCAAGCTTTAGGTCTTAGTTCTCCACAGCTGTTAGAGCAGGCTCTGTCTGCAGCTCCTAGTCAGTCACATGCTGCTGGAAACCTGCCAGCGCTGTCACATGGGCCACACGCACAAAGACGGGAAGTCCAGCGAGAGGAGGAAGTTAGGTCAGACTGGGAGAAGGCAGGAGTGGAAGGAGACAGAGAAGAGGCCAGTAACAGAGAGACAAGTTTCAGCAGAAGGATTTGTGAAACAGCAGGCGCTGAAGAGGGAGGAGAAAAACTAGCAACGAGCAAAAAACGCAGGAGAAAGAAGAGGGGGAAGAGAGGAGGTGGAGAAGCCAAACTTAGCTCCTGCTCTAGTACAGAATCTCAGGGTCACACAGAGATTCAGTCAGAAAGCCAAGAAGCAACAGACCCCGGCATCCAGTCACAGACGCAGACTGGGAGGACAGACGATTGCTGCCTCCCTGATTCTGAGCCGGCCCGGAAGCAGGAAGCCGATGACGATGCCATGCACCTACCCGGCCACACGGAGATCCAGGCCCGCAGCGCTCATGGAGCTGGCGGTGATGTTACAAGCTCAGACTCTGGTTTCATGGCTGAAGAGCTCAGTCACACTGAGCATCTGACAGCACACTCCACTCCAGTTACAGCTTCACACACAGAAAGAAGAAAGGACTCATCGGAGGATGAGACCGTGAGCTCAGAATTCGGTGAAGCAGACGTCAGTACGGTGGACATAAAGATAAATACAAGTGTGCAGCTGGAGGCAACACAAGGACGTGACCCTGGAGAGCTGGAATCACAGATGCCTGCCATTCCTGTCCAGCCAGCACCGGATAATGCTGATCTTGAGGCTCTGCCACCAAACGATGATCTGACCGTTACTTGTACAGCCACAGAGTCTGGGATCCAGATCGAGTTAGCAAACTCCAAGTATCCAAAGGAATTTGTTAAACAGTCGGAGGATACAGAGCTCAGGGAGGAAAAGCCAGGACACTGTGTGGATCCCACAGGAACACCAGCAGGACTTGTTGAATCTGTGCGTCCCACAGAAGCTGCTTTTGTACCAGCTGACGATAGAGCGGATGTTGCTCCCCTTCACATTCAGGAAGGAAGCACTGAGATCACTGCAAGGGAATATTTAAAGCATTGTTTGGCCCCTGAGATGCTGAGAGGTCAGCAGCACACGGAGAAAATGAGACATGACATGTGGGTGGGCGTAGAGGGAGGAGTTGAGGAAAGAAGCCAGAGTGGCGACGAGGACAGTGCCACAGAGGCGTGCTCCATGGAGCGAGGGCGAGCGGTGAAGCAGAACTATGATGAAGATGTGGTTGCTGCTGCAGTAGCTGTTGTAGCAGTATCAATAGCATCAGCAGTGGTTAGCATAGAAGTTAGCCAACATTTATTAGACAATATGTCAGAGAGTCAAGTGTGTGCTGGCAAAGAAGCAGGAACCAGTCCATCATTAGCTAAGGGGAGCGGTGCAGTCGGCCTCAGCACGACTCAGTGCTCACAGCTGGCTCCACAGCTGATCGCCAGAGCTGACACAGAAAACCAGCCTGCAGCACACTCTCACTCTCACCTCACTAACCACATCACATCTATAGGACAAGTGTGTGCTCACACAGCAGAGGAAGCACCTTCTGCAGAGATATCTTGTATAACTAACAGAGACGATCAGGCTAACAGTGACCTACCTTCATGTGCTGAAGCTCTTCAGTTACCAAAACAGCCCAAAGAGAAAATTCAAAAAGAAAGTCTGCACAGCAAAGTCTTTACATACTCACCACCTAAAGAAGAAGATAACAAACCTTTGCCAGAGGTGATGACAGCTAAGGCAGACGAAGAGAGCCAGTCCCACTGTCAGAATCCACTGACCTGTCCTGAAGAGGGAGATGGACAGCAGCACTTTCAAACAAGAGAGATCCCCGATCAAGACGGCGGTCACTCTGTGGAGTGCAGAGATGCTGAGTGGCAGGATAGATCAGAAGATAGTGAGTGCTGTGCAGACCTGTCAGCCTCACACTCTCACACTCCAGGAAAGGAGAGCCAGCCACAGCTGGTTATAATGCCACATCAGAGTGGTTCAGCACTTCCTGTTATCCCCAGTAACCCAGCTTCCCTAGCTAGTCCCACTCCACAGGAAACTACTGCTCCTGTGGAATCAGCTGAACTTCTGTCATCAGCAAATGGCAATAGTCTTACTGCAAGCCATCCTGAAGCTGACGGTGGCACAAACCAAAGAGAAGTTCACGACTGTGTCTGTGTGAACCTTGAGGATGGTGTATTTGAAGGTCTGGATACGGTGGAGAAAGGAGAAGTGGAGAAGCTCACAGTGGAGGATGCATCCCACACAGGTAACTCCATCTACACCCCCCCCCCCCCCCCCCCCCACACACACACACACCCACACATCTTTGTTCATGTCTCTTATTGTCACTTTGATCTCTTTTATTTCCTGTCCTCGTCACCTTCCTGTCACCATCATTCATCCTCCTCTCCCCCACAAACCTCTTCCTTTCCTTCAACAGAATCATCATAGCAAAAATATCTCATTCCACATTCATTAGACTGACATAAATGTTCTTTAAAATTCTTTTTAACCTTTGAAGAGTGTGTCTATGGTCTAGTTACTCTTTGAAAAGATAAGTTAGTGTTGGAAAGAGCTGTCACATGAGCAGTCATAGTGTTGAATACTTGATTGAGACGGTGAAAGTCTTCCATAGTTCTCTCCTGGTCTGATGAAGGAGTGACTGGAACGCATCAGTTACGACATTCCTCCATTCTTAATGAGACTGAGTGGAAGCAGGCCAAAAAAGGTGTGTGTGTGTGTGTGTGTGTGTGTGTTGTGATGGTGGCGGTGTTGGTAAGCATTAGCTTTTCTTGGTTTCGGAGGCACTGTTTATATTTTGCATTGTATCCAGGAAACGTGATGATGTAATCAACATCATAACATCATAACAGTTAAATGTAAAACTAGAGGTAGGTGGAAATATGGTTGTGGTATGAGTTCTGTTCCTGTGTGTGTGTGTGTGTGTGTGTGTGTGTGTGTGTGTGTGTGTGTGTGTCCAATCCAGATTCTGATCCACTGAGCAAAGGCCTCGAAGGACAGCGGGACATTAAACGAGTATTATACTATTCGACGCTAAGTTAATACAAGCACTCACACTTTAAAAACATACCCGTGCTGAGGCCCAGCTAGCATTAGCACCAGAGCTAGCTGAAAGAGGCCCAGGCTCATAATTCTGCCCTGCTAAGACAGAAAAAAACCTAGCCTTTACGTGTGCCTACCACTGCAGTTTTGTTCCTTACATACAAAACACACACCTTGATCACTTTTCAGTGAAGTGTTTGCACTTCCTGGAACAATGACATCACTTACTTGTTTTCAGAGGCTTTGGAGTTAATGTGTGTGCAATGACTGGCCTGTTTGATCCTACTACCTCATGTTGTTGTTCTCATCACTGATTCACCACCCTCTAAATATAGCTGTGCTCTGTGTATTGTGGATGATATTGTAGCTGGCTGATGCGTTTTTCAAAGCCAGTGAGTGTCCACGCTAACCTGATGGTGTTTTCTGTCGTGTGCAGGAGCAGCAGAGCAGGAGCAGAGAGGCTGGGACAGCGCACACACTCTGCAGGTGAGCTGCTGTTCAGTGGAGTGACTGTTTCATAGTGTCACAGGCAAGTCTGTCCTATTGTCTCACCTGCATACACTGAACCTGTCAACGTTTTGCGAAGCAGCTGGCTAGATGTGGTGTGATCATTGCAGGCTCTTGCAGGAGTGAAGTACTGAGACTTTCTGGAGAGTAAGCTAAGGCTCCACCCCCTTAAAACCCTGTTATTTGACAGAGCGGACAAGGGAGCACGGAGACCGAGCAGCTAAGACAAATACACCAGCTCAGTGCCACACTCAGGTCCCACAAGCCCACCTCCTCTCTCCTTCCTGCAGTGCATATGAACATTAGTTTTGCTCTCTGTGGTTTTGGGGTTAGATCAGAGCGGGCCAGGCCGCGGTCTCCTTTGACACCATATAAATCCTTCTCTAATGACTCCTGATGACGCACTGTTTGGTATCATAGAGCTGCAGGTTACAGTGGGAGGCATGGGAACCTTGAGACCTTGCCCTGGGGTGTAATGTCAGAGTCAGGGAGGGACGGAAGAGGGAGGTACAGTACACAGAGCGGTATAGGAGACCCTGCTTTATTCGCTTTCATGTAAAACTTTGCTACCTTGTTGAGAAGATGAGCAGGTCGAGTTTGGAGTCTTAGAGAAACTGCTGGATTTCCATGTGTTTGATTCAGATGTTTGGCACTTTTATTTATTTTCCATAAAAGTGATCATAGGACTTTGAAATGACTTATTGAATCATGTTTGTGCAACTTTCTAAAGGATCCTGGGTTCCACTGTGTCCACATTTGAGTTAGTTTTTGTTTGGGATCAGGTAGCAGGTTTGCTAACCTCTGTTAACAGATCTGTTAATGCAGTTAGGCCAGAGCTGATACAGTCTCACATCTTACACGTACGGCTCGGTGACAAATTAAAGGAAAATCCTGACCCTCTCAACCCTGTAGTGAAGTGACCATCTTTATCACCTTTATTCCACGAGGAAGCTTTTCTGTGCTGATGGGAGTGCTCTCTGCATCCAGAGGACATGAACTTCATCACTGTCTCGGGTTGATCTTGAAGCAATTCCTGCAACAAGTCTTTCTGTCTTCCTCGTATCGTCCCCAGCTGTCGCAGCTTATGGCCGCCCCCTCCCTGAGTCTGGTTTTCCTGGAGGTTTCTTCTGATAAAAGGGAGTTTTTCCTTCCCACTATCACCAAAGCACTTGCTCATAGTGGGTTGTCTGATTGTTGGGGTTTCTCTGTATTATTGTAGGGTCTATACCTAACAGTATAAAGCACCTGGAGGTGGCTGCTGTTGTGATTTGGCGTTATATAAATAAAACTGAATTCAATTGAAAATTGAACCCTGTGTTCTCTTTGTGTGCTCTCTGATGCAGTCTGTAGGAACTCACTCATTTTCGGGTATTCTTTGTTGCCCCCGTGTGGTTTCAGTAGGTATAAAAAGTTCCAGATGTGACCGTCTCTCACTCTGTCAGAGCTGGGTGGTGTTCGGCTGTTACCGTGGTTACTGCTGTGTTTGTGTGCTGCTGATTGGTCACAGGTGGTGCTGATTTCTTGCACTTACTGACTATAAGTTAGCTCTGTGTTGTTGAGAGAGTTCTTTAATTTATTAAAAATGACTTTCATCATGTTATCAGCAACACATGCATACACATGCACACACACGTGTTGTTTTTCAACCAACTTATTCATTATACTGCACATTTTTTTTCCCAAGGTGTACCCAAAGCATTGTGGGAACTGTAGTGTGAAAAAGCAAATACTGAAAATATGAGGCATGCCAGAAATAAATTTGATTTCTTTATTTTTGTAACTTCAGCACGGGAACTGTGTGCTGGTGCAGTGTTGACCGAGCACTCTAATGTCAAGCCTGTTTGTGTGCTCTGTGTGTACATATGTGGGTGTGTGTCACGGGTCTGCATGTGGGTTAACTGTGATTGAAAATGTCCAGTACGTGTGAACGGTTGTGTGTCTCTTTGTGTTAGCCTTGCAACATATTGGGGGCCTGTCCCTGGTGTACTCCTCCTCTCATCCGTTTACAGTGGCATTGACTGCAGGTGTCTGTTTTCCATGTTTACGTCACCCTGATGTGGCAGTGATTGTGCATGTGGGTGCAGCAGCACATATGACATTATCACTCAGCACAGTCACTCAGCACAGGGCATAGTCACTATTTATCCACTTCTGCTGCTCTTATTTGGCTCCTTTGATGGAGGGAGTGGACAGAGAGAGAGGGAAGAAGGCAGTGAGGGAAAAAGGAAGCGGGTGGATAGGAGGGATGGAGAGGGGGCTGGTGTTATAAACAGATGTGTGCAGGAAGTCTCCTCGTCAGAGCTCGCAGGCTGTAGAGGATTACTCTGAGTAGGAGCACACTGATCTGCGTTAGCTGTTCTTTCACTGTTTGTTTAAGTGGATTTGGTTTGGATTCCCTCTTCTCATGTCGCTAATTGGATATACTAACTGTTTTCTTCTTTTGTGAAGTTTTCTCGTTTCACCTCAAGTAAATCAGCTGCCTGTAACTGCACAAAGTTCCAGTTGGACCTTTTTCCTTCGTACTCCTCCCTCGGCTGTTTCCATCATTGCTGCTGTGACAGATTTGCAGTCGGGACAGACAGTGGAGAGCGGGGCGATAGCTGAGCTTTTGCCTGCAGTATGTTTCGCTGTCAGCATGTGTGTGAGACCTGGATTGTTAGAAGCTGAGGGTGAAACTGGCAGCATGTATGAGAGGCACAGGCGAAGGTACAGCTTCTGTGCCAAAGGAGAGCCCACTGTGGATGTGCTGTTGATTAAGGTAGGGAAAAAAGCTGGTGATTTGATGGCTGAGAGTCCTGCAGTCACTCATGGCCTTCATATATGTACTTTAGATACAGTGCTGTGCAGAAGTCTTGAGCCACGCCTCATTTCTTTATATTTTGTTAGGAAATCTGTGCGGTGATTTATAAACATGAACAAACGTCCATGTAAATATATGCATGTTCCAGGGTCCGGGGGAGGCCAGTCCATAACTGATGGTGTTCCACTTTGTGTTTTTCTTTCCAGGAATGCTTTTACTATATTTGCAGTGTGTTTGGGTTCATTGTTGTATTTACATAAAATGAAGCTGCTGCCAGTCAGATTCTTTACAAATGTTTTTACACGGTGGATCAAAATCTGTTGGTACTTTTCTGCATTCATAATTCCATCGATTTTGACAAGATGTCGAACACCACTGGCTGAAAAGCAGCCCAAACCATGACAGAGCCTCCACCATGTTTTACTGCAGACACTCAGTGTTGGACCCTCTGTCCTGCCCTCCTCTGTAGATACACTCAGGGAAATAATTCTGTAATCTCCTGCTGAATTTGTAAGTTTGCTCACTCCCCTTTTTTTTTTTACTTCCCTTTTATGGCAGATTCATTTTAATGGAGAGAACAGAATATGAACAAACAATCCAGAAAAAACATTACATAAAAGTTATAATCTGATTTGCATGTCACTGAATGAAATATTGAAGTATTTGATCCCCTACAGCAAGCAAGAATTGTGGCTCCCACAGATGTGGCACACACATGACAATCAGTGAGTTGCAGATACTGCTGATCTAAACTCTCAGTGTGTATGAAGTAGGGCTGGGCCATATTATACCGTTCACGGTAATACCGGGATAATGTTAGGCAACGATAGGAAAATGAAATATCGCGATAGAATATGAGTAATCCGCGTATGCGCAGTGCCTTTGTTTTCATACGCACATGGCCGATTGTTGAGTGAAACAGATGAACCAGAATTGGTTTGTAAAAATGGTGCAACTTCAGTGATGTGGAACTGGTTTGGTGTTTGTCCGTCAGATACATGACAAAGCACATTTTTTTTGCAGAACATGCAAGCGGCCGTCGTTATTGTCGTATTTGTCAGACTAAGATGCTCTTAAATCTGGGAGTAATCTGGTTCCTAAACTCCGTATGTTTCAGGTGAAACAACACTGCAGCATCACTGAGAGTTTAAAACTCTCTAAATTCTTTCATCTTTAATAAAACGATCAGCATTGCTGCTTTACCAGGTGTAACTATGAAGTTTAACTTCCAGGCATCCATGAAAACAAAATTTATTACATTTAACGGAGTTAGAAGTTAGCAGGAAGCTAGCGGAAGTTAGCTCGCTAGTTTCGCTAGTTACCTAAGCATGATATTGCATGTTCTGACTGAGAGATTTCTGAAAAAATTCAAACGTACAGCTCTGCTTTCACTTCCAACATAAATGAAGACAGGAAACTAAACAGCAGTGACGTTTGTAGGGTTACTGAAGTTGGGCTAGCTGGTATATAATGATGTGCTACGTGACCGCTAGCGACACAGCTACGTTAGCATAACATAAACAGTGAAGCTGGAGGACAAACACTAACACTTTTCCACTTATAAAAGTTAACGTGAAGGTTCTTCATGGTTAGAGACAAATGCAATCGCATGGCAGGATGCTGTAAACGGACCAAACTTCAGTCAGGAGAGCAACTGAGATAATCCATCCACAATACGAGATTAGTCATTAATATACTGCAACAACATGGGAATAGAGCAGCTGCCAGAGAATTCAACATTAATGAATCAATGGTACAGAAGTGGAGGAAGCAAGAAGAACGAGTTTAATAAAGTTTGATTTATCTGACTGCTTTGTTTCGATTAATGTGCCTTATAATCCCGTGCACCTTATGGTCCAAAAAATACGTACTGCACACTGCAGTTTAATGTTGCAAAGCACCTCTTTTTAACTTCAGTGGATATTATACATGGTTATGCTCAGGATATGTCAGCCCATTTCTACTGGAAATGCCTTTTGGTTAAACTTTCAGCAAGGAATTTGCATTTGCACTGTTACATTTTTATAAAGCTTTAATGTACATAAAAACCAGCTTCTTGTTTAAGTGAAAATAAATGATAGGTTGTCTTTTTGCGCTAGTAATGTTGTGGAGTTGTATTTTGTCTCGCATCAATTATATCGTCAGTTATATCGTTATCGCAAATTTTCAAATATATATCGTGATAAATATTTTTGGCCATATCGCCCTGCTCTAGTATGAAGGACACCTGTCCACAGAATCACTTTCTCTCATCCTAACTCACACTAAAAAAAATCTAATTTGGGTTGATCAGACCTCTTGCCACAGATTTTCAGTTCAGTTCTTGTGTCATGTAGGGTACCTCAGCCTTTTCCTCCTGTTTCCCTTCATTAAAAATGGCTTCTTGATAGCCGCCCCAAGGGCTGGGGCATATCATACCGTTCACGGTAATACTGGTATAATGTCGGGCAACGATAAGAAAATGAAATATCGCGATAGAATATGGGTAAAACCCGCATGCGCAGTGCTTTTGTTTTTTATACGCACATGCCGGAAAAAGCACGGCGGCGATGGAGAATGAGAAGGGCGAAAGGGGATCGTTAAATGAACCAGAATTGGTTTGTAAAAATGCTGCAACTTCAGTGGTGTGGAACTGGTTTAGCTTTCGTCCGTCAGATACACAACAAAGCACTATTTTTGGTAGAGCATGCTAGCTGGCCATCGTTATTACCGTGTTTTTTGGAAAATACGGCACACTTAAAATCAATCCTTTGATTTTTCTGAAAATCGACAGTGCCCCTTATAATCCCGTGCGCCTTATGTATGAATTCTGGTTGTGTTTACTGACCTCGAAACGATTTCATGTCGTACACGACGCTCGAAAATCTGTCAAATGTTTTAGTACGACTTTGCTAAGCTACGAAGCCGCACCGCTTGATGGATTGTCGGAGCATTACGGCTATCGTTGGCAGGAGCCTGGCGGAGTGATACGTACTGTGCTTCAACATAATATTACCGTATTGTGTGTGTATAACCTCTTTTTAAGTTTTGTGGATATTATACATGGTTATGCTGAGGATATGTCAGCCAGTTTCCGCTGGAAATGCCTTTTGGTTAAACTGTCAGCAAGGAATTTGCATTTGCACTGTTAAATTTTTATATAACTTTAATGCAAAAAACGGCTGCTTGTTTAAGTGAAAACACATTGATTTTATTTTTTTTTTGCACGAATAAAGTTGTGGAGTTGTAAAGTATTTTGTCTAGTGTCGATTATATCGTCAGTTATATCGTTATCGCAAATTTTCAAATGTATATCGTGATAAATATTTTTGGTCATATCACCCTGCTCTAGCCATCCCTCCACTGAGAACATTTCTGATCATCAGAAATGTTCTGTGCAAATGACTTAAAGTCATGTCTTTAAGAAACGGGATTTTTCCTGTTTCGTAAAGACATGACTTTCAGATACTGTTCGTCTGCTGTTGAAAGTCTTAGACCTGCCAGTTATTTTGAGGGAGAGGGATGTTGTTGATGCAGGATTCTAGCTGCTCAGCTGTCCTGGCTTCTTCTTCTTTGTCTCTTCTTTCTTATCATGATGCTCCAGATGTTCTCAGTTGGTGAGGGTCACAAAAATAACGCCATAGCAGGCCAGGTCGGCCATGCTTTAACAGATGCCATACATGGGTTAGCATTGTTATGCAAAATATGGAGAGTCGTCTAAAAAAGGTGTCATTTGGATGGACTATCTGTTGGTTTAGAACATGTCTATACCTTTCAGCATTGATGGAGCCTTTCCAGATGTGCCTAATTCCTTTGGTCTTCAGTCAGGAGGATGTGGTGCCCATGTTTTCCAAAAACAATCTGGAAGGGTCTGACCTCAGAACAGTTTCCTACTTTGCTTCAGTCCATTTTAAATGAGCTGTGGTCCAGAGAAGAAGGCAGAGTGTGTGCATCATGTTCACTGGCATCTTCTTTGCAAACACACACATATACGAAAATTTGTGTACATATCACTATGATCAGTGTTTTGGTGATAGTGTGAAATTGCCACACCCACAGCCTTTATGCTGTCACAGAGAGTAACACAAAGCATGGTTTGCATTACAGTGTCTCTGTTTTTACTCCTATGCACACAATTTTCAGAGTAATAGAACTCCAACTTCTACTTTGGTGATGCAGAAATGAAATCCTGCTGCCGGGGGCTGGTTTGGCTTGCTTCTTACGTATCAGCTCTTCCCAGCAGAGATGAGAGAGCAGAGCAGGCTTTGTGACAGCCCCCAGCATTAGATGACAGCACTGCTGTGTCAGCTGTCCTGAGAGATGATCTGTGCAACTATGAGAGAAAGCGCTCCGTGCTCCTGATACAGATCTGTGTTGTGGTAAAGTGTCAAAAACTGTGATGCTGATCATGCTGATTAAGAAACAGTCTATTACTGACAGAATGTAACAGACTGTAACAGCTAATAGTCTATCAATGTCAGTAGTGTATCAATGCTGCGATTGTCCTTTATTAACTTTTAACTAACAGCATCTGCTGCAACTGGTTGGGAGCGAGGGGAGAAAAGACAAGAAAGACAAGAAAAAGGAATGTTCTTTCTCAGACTCACTGAAAGCATTAGATGATTCAAATCAGCTGGACAGATCGCCAATCGACATACACAAACATATGTTTTATTTGGCACAGGTAAATTATTCAAGCTCATTAAACTGGGATAGAACAGTTCACATGCTTCATACATTTCATTAAATGTATGAAGCATGTGAACTGTATGACATTTCATTAAATGTACTTATCTCTGGTGATTTAAAGTGAGTGTTCACTTTAAATCAAGTGTGCACCCTCCAAACAACTGTCCAGCATATGCTGCATGGGTGCAGAGTGACAAATGCTGCCTGTTGTCTCCTACATGTTGGAGAGCTGCTCTTTTGTGTGGATCTTTTTCTGCAGCATGTTGACAATAGACAGTGCAGGAAACATGGAGCTAAGACAACAGATCCATTGAGACAGTCGTCAGCGAGACAAAGGAGTCATTGGCTTTACTGATTAACCATCACACAACTAAATATGAGATCACTGCGATGGCCCAGCCTACAGCAGTGACAAAAGTAGTAGGAGTTACACAATTCATTGCTTCACTCACATTAATATCCAGCCCTTAGACTTCAGTCGGCCTTTGTCTAAACACGCACATTTATCTTAAAGATGATATCAGAGAAGAGAGGTCTTTGTGGTCTTTTGTTCAGTCCGCCATCGTGCAGTTTTACAGTGATTATTTCTGTACCCTAAACACAAAACATACAATTGTGACTTGTACATTCCATCAGAAGCCACGAGTATAAAGAAAGTCTGTCAAGTTCTTCCACACCAAACTCTCTCATGTCTTTACGGGCTTTGCTTTGTGCACTGTTATGCACTCATTTTGGAACAGGAAGGGACCATCCCCAAACTGTTCCCACAAAGTTGGGAGCATGAAATTTCCAAAATGTCTTTGTATGCTGAAGCATTAAGTGTTCCTTTCACTCGAACTAAGAACTAACAGCCCCACAACATAATCGCTCTCCACCAAACTTCACAGTTGGCACAGACAGACAAGTACCGTTGTCCTGACAACCGCCAAACCCACACTCCTCCATCAGACTGCCAGATGGAGACGTGTGATTCATCACTCCAAAGAACACTTCTTTGCATTGTGCTATTTGATGTAAGGCTTGGATGCAGCTGATTGGCCGTGGAAACCCATTCCATGAAGCTCTTACTGTTTATGAGCTAATCTGAAGGACACATGAAGTTTGCAGGTCTGTAGTGATTGACTCTGCAGAGAGCTGCGGACTGTGCACTGTGTACCTCAGCATCCGCTGACCCTGATCTGTAGTCTTGCGTGGCCGACCACTTCACGACTGAGTTGATGTTCCAGTCAGTCCCACTTTGTCATAAGTTCACTGACAGTGTGGAATGTGGAATATTTAGTAGCAAGGAAATTGCTACTAAACTGGTCAGCTGGATGGCCCAAAACATTAAAAATCTAAAGACATATGCAGGCTGGAAAAGTGTTGTCCCGGAGGGATGTTGAGCAGTTCAGAGCAGCTGATGTTTGAACAATTGCAGAATTGCACCCTGGTAAAGGAGCCTTCCTACATCGGTCTTATGTTACACTGGACTGCTGTGTGTGTGGAACAATCATTCTCTATGTGTTGGATCAACATGTAACACACAGATGCAGCACACACAGTACGTGGGTGAACGGCTGTTGTCATCAGTCACGCGTGGATCCCGTGTTTGTGTGTGACAGTGTCATATTGTGTCACCTGAGAACGCTCAGAGAAAAATTCTGCAAAGAACTGAGGATGACGCTTAGTTCTTCATCCTTGTTTCGGAGCACAATGCTGTGTGCTCAGCACAGAGAACTTTACAGGAAAACTCATGTACTGCAAACAGCAGCCTCATTCTGCTTTCTCTCCCTCTGTGTTTCTTTGTTAGATCCAGAGAGAAAGCCATGTGCTCTGTCCTGTACAGCCCAGTCTTGAACACAACGCAATAACACCATGTACAGGTAAGGCTTACAGACTGTCAATCCACTTATTTTGAAAGGAAGTAACCAGATCTTAACACCAGTTTACCTGCTACCAGTACAGCTGAGCAGAACCCTCAAGAACTCATATTTAATGTGCTGTAAAATGTGATGGAGATGTGTGGAAACACTTATAATAGTTCCACTGTAATAAGCACGACTCAAGCTATTTCTGTTTAATTCCATAGTAACATTTGAATCAATCAAACATAAGGAAGAGTGATGATCGCCTGCAAACACTTGAATCAGGGCTGCAAAATGCAAAACCATGTAATAACACGTGATGAGCATTTTGTAGGCTTGAAGGTGGTTTTAAATGCGTTTTGAGTCGAAACACTGATTTCACTGCATCTCTGATGAGGTTCTGTAACGAAAACTTTGCATTAAAATGGATTATTTTATTATTTAATGATAATTTGAGTAGAGTTATCAGTAGCAAAAACCAAAGATTGTTATTAATACATTAATTAGATTATTTAAATAGAATATTTGTATGAATGTAAACACTCACTGAGCCACATGGTACAATTCAGAACATAAACTTTCATTTATTATTGCAGTAAATTTAAAGCTTGAGCACTTAATGTTCGCTTATTTATTTAACCTTTAAACTTTATCAGATAAAGTGTGCTTTCACACACCAACCACAGAGAAACAGGCAGGCTGTTTCTCTGTGGTTGGTGTGATATGAGATAAACTTCCTTTCTACCAGCGCTATAGCATGCCACAGTCTCTAATGTGACAACTCATGTTGTCTTTCGCTCACTCAGCAGGAAGTGATTGACCGTCCTCCTCCTTCTTCTTCACAGATATTCACACAGACCGAGGAACGTGTGTGTCACTGTGTTTGGTGCAGGGAGAGTCGGCGGTGGAAGATGGCCTGAACGTCACTCCTGAGCTGGATGATGGTCTAATTCACAAGGTACACACACACACACACACACACACACACACACACACACACACACACACACACACACACACACACATAGACTTTGTGAAATACCACATTAACTGTTGAGGAATTACAGACATTTCTATGCATAGTCCAAAGTTTCAGAGGCTCAAACCTAATTAATCAAACATGATTTTAATTAAAAGAATGAATGAATTTGTAGTGACTGCTTGAAGTTTAGCACCCAAGAACATCACCAAATGCTGTGTTTCCTCCTTTAACATCCTCTGCCAGGACTGTAGAGCAGCTGCTGTTTGTGGGTCTTTATCTTTCACTTCTATCTTCTGTAACTTAAAAGCATGTTAAGTTGAAATCAGGGTACTGACTTGGCCATTGACGAATACGTCGCTTCTTTGCTTTGAGAGGCTCTTGGGTTTTTTGGGAGCTTTTGAGTGCAGACAATTGAGCTTTGAAGTGCAGTGTTTATCCTGCTGGAAGCAGCCATCAGAGGACGGTACACTGAGGTCATTCTGGGATGGACACGATCAGCTGCGATAGCTCGACTTATAGATCCCACACCCATACACCACCAGCCTCAGCCTGAGCCACTGACACTGGGCAGGAGTTTACATCAAAGTCTGACCCCGCCACCTGAAGGAAATCCAAACTTATCAGACCACACAACGTGTTTGACATTTGTATGAAATAATGTTGCCGCGTGTTCATAATCAATGCTCTCCTTACTCCCATAACCACACACGCACGCACACATACAAAATATCAGCAGTTTTGGTGCAGCAGAACTTCTCTGCTGTCACAGAGAAATATTTGGAGCTGGTCAGAGTGTGAGCAGTGACTCATTTTTTCTGGAAGAGGCCTTTTCCACCAGCTTTTCTCATAATCCTCCACAGACCACATTCAGCTCTTTCCCTGAGAACGTTTTCTTACAGGGCCCTTTCAAATCACTCCAATGCCCAGCTTCTAAAATATCCTATTATCCTATATTAAAAATCTACTACAGTGTGTGTGTGTCTCAGTGCCCTAGCTTTGTGTTTGTTTACATCTTTGTAAAATCCACCTCACATTTCTCCCCTTCTCTCCAGCCTGAGGCTCCTCAGACTGGTGTTGGGCACATGGACAGCCAGGCCTGTGGCGCCCACTCCTCCACTAGTAATGCACTGATGCAAGAAGCTGTCAGTCCCAGCAAAGCAGCTTTGTCAGTGGACACATCTGGCGCTGTGTCCCCTCAGAGCTCCACACTGTCCTGGATGTCAGAAACGGAGGACAGAGGTAAAGCACACAGTGATACCTGAAACTGTTATTTCCTTGAAGAAGTTAATAATTACAAGCTCTTTGGCATGTTCTACTTCCTGTCTGTCTGCCTGTGAGCTGATAGTAAATCTGTCTGTTGCTATGCACAGTAGATCAGGACAGATTTCACTGAGGTCACAGACACAATGAGCTTCTGGTGAAATCCAGCGAACATTTACTTCAGAGTTAGAACATTAGTCATTAGTATTTGTAGTAACTGTTTGAACGATGTGCTGGGTGTGTTGCATGTGTCCTGTTACGTGTTCATTCTTAACCGGTGAGTGGTTGTAATATTTTTTTCTGACATACATCTGAGGAGGAGGAGGAGAAAGAGGAGGAGAGGTAGAGGGAGGAGGCGATGAAGAAGAGAAAAAAGACCAGCTTCCAGAAACTCCAGTGTCATCAGCCGTCTTGCGCACATCCAGTCGCTCCTTGTCTCCGTTGCGTCGCCATAGCTGGGAGCCGGGCAGGACCAACACAGCCACACACATGGAGCTCTCACAGAGCAGGTACTGGAACCTCGGGCTGTTCTGACACCGAGCCACTAAAGGACCATCTTCTAAGTAAAAAATATGACCCTCTGTATAGTTGTGCTGTCTAAGGAGGTCTTTCCATAGATGTGAATGCTAAGATGCAGCTTTGTATCAAAGCTGCATGTTAGCATTGTGGAGGCCTTCTTGGTTGGACTAGAACAACATCTGTGGCTTTGGCATCAGTCAGTTGTGCTGTCTAATGCTCGGGTAGCCTTGAAATTGTGCTTTGTTGTGCAGCTTAAGCCTTGTATCGGGTCAGAATCTGTCTCATTTGGCTTTTAAAACTTTATTGATGGGTCTCCTTGTTCACACACTTGGTGTCAACACGAGAACAGATGCTCCGCTCCCAACTTTATTGAAAAATCCTGCTGACGTCAAATGCCAGATTGGCTGATATTTTTCAAAACACAATTGCATTCAGAGTTCGTTACATGAACTGCGTTTGCAAACAGTAAGTGCAAACACAGCAGCCGAGCATCTGCTCCATGTCGAGCAGCAGGAGAAATTAAAGCCAGCTTCCACATCTTTGTTCACGAGTGTATCTTCCTCCTGTTGTCATCAACAGTCCGCCTGCCCCTTCCTTCAGCTCACTGAAGACCGTTTCAGGAGAGGTGAAACAAGCCAAGACCCCTCTCCACAGAAGAAGGTAACCCCGTCTTCCATGACCTGCTTTATTCACGCCTGCCTCTGTTTCCTTGCAGGGCCACATACTTTTTCTTTTTGTGCGTCTAGGCTGATATTTCTGTGAGTCGTGTTTCACACATTCAGAAACAGCTGAGAAATGACTGATTTACTGATGAAAAGGACAGCACGTATTCAAATGTGAGGCAATGTCAAGAACCTTAAACTGAGTTGTTAGAGTGTGAGTGCAACACCGCTATTCCTCACAGCAGCCGAATCAGGCTTGCATTCCTGCCTTCTTACTAGAGTGCAGCCTCAGCCTGCTCACACGGCATACACAGACACTCCCTGGCCCAAGCATGGCATCCAGTGGAAAAGTCATCAGCGCAGTGAGAGCAGCAGGTCAGCAAAGTGTGCTGAGACTGAGGTGGAGATGGAAAGATTCCCTTAAACTCTGGCTGTAGTGCTGAGATGTATGATTATTACCTCTGTACAGTATTTTCTGCATTGAGTTGTGCAGTTCAGGCTGTGTTGCTGTGATGTGAGTCCAAGTGTTATGAATTAAAGCAATGTGCCAGTTTTCAGACAAACTTAAATTAACAGCTTAGACACATCTTTCTCACCACAACACCATTATCATTAATTCTTGTTTTAATACACCCCTGCCATCAAACATCTTCTCTTTCTTTTCTTTGTTTTTCTTTGCATGTTTCTCACAATTCGTCCCCCATCTGTCCATTTCTCCAGTATGAGCTGGTGTCCATCCAACCTGGTTTTTCCTGATCAGGAGCAAATAGACAGCAGAAGGTAAATGGCAGAAGTCAACAGTAATACACAGATATTGTTTCATTTCAACAGCTCTTCGATAGAAGAGCGACTTAAAACCTCTGACTATGATGTAAGACGAGCACAGAGAAAGATGACACAACAACATACCAATGCGCATTATGAAATGAGGTCTGGTTAGACGTGTGGTTCAGCCTAGCAGGCTGCTGTGTGCTTTGTGGCTGCACCCTGCTTCTCTCTCTCTCTGCTCCAGGTGCCAGCCTCCTTTCTCTTGTGGAGCCGGTGCACAGCTTTTCCACCCAGACACTTTATTCTTATTCCACTCTCTGCCCAAGTCTTTTGGTGAAATATAACAATTTGGGGGTTCGTCCAGGATGTAAAAACAGTCAAACCCATCCATGGTTTACCCCACCTCTCGCCCTATGACAGCTGGTCACCAACGACACTGGTGTATAAATCAGGATTGTGCATGCATGGATGGATGGATAGAACCTGGACATGAATACGAACCGGAACTAAATTAAAAGAAAGTTGGCAGAAAGTCCTGAAAGGCTATAAAAGTATAAAAGTTGTAAAATAATAACTACTCAGCATAGCACACTTACTATGAGGAGACAGACACAGAGCAGAGCACTGGTTTTATACTACAGTATTGAGTGATAAGTGGAGGAGCCGTGCACATCACCAGCAGAAAACAGTGTGCCACCTGAGTCAGGAAACATGGTCCTACTTCATTTCTCCTTTCATCCAGCCACAGTCTAGAAAGTCTAGAAGTGGGCACAGAAGTGGTGCAGGACCAGACACAGTGTGCCAGCATCAGTGATCAGGAGGTGGTGGCTGCAGGCAGGAGTTCACAGGTGGAGAGCCTGGACAGGGGGTCTCTGGCCTCCCTAACCGAGGAGGAGCAGGAAGGAGACAGCAGCAGCATTGATAGCCAGGTGTGTCCTCTTACTTTTTTTTTTTTTGCTTTGTTATTCGATGAGAGGACGGATTTATATACTTGTCATTTTCATTTCTTGTGTGTTGTTAGACATCATTGATTGTCAGCTGTCCTGCCATCTTTCATCATCCAACTCTCACCAAATCCATCTCCATGGTCACCGTCACTCAGCGGGACGTACAGGGTGAGTCTCTCAGTCCTCTGTCTCTGCCTCTCGTTTGTTCTGAGAAGTAAAGATTCTCGACGTTCTCCGCTAAGATTCTTTCATCCTGCTGCACCCATGAATACCTTTTAGCGAGTGGGTTTCCTCCATCAAAGCGACGAATCAGCTTCTCTGTCAGTATCTCTCCGCTCCTCCCAAAAACTAGACGCTTCTTTTCCATTGGCTCTTCCTCCAGTGATGAGGAGGAGGAGGGAGGGAGTAAGTATGAAGATTGTCCCTGTAGTGTTCCCTCTGTCAGTCTGGTGTCCTGTAACACTGACCATCAAAGCAGTTCAAATGTGTCGACCCATTGCTGGACCCCACGTGTTTGTCTTCAGAAGCCTAAACTAATAAACTAGTCTGTGTAAGTGTGACGAGTGTCTCCCTTTCAGTGTGCCGTGTTCAATGTGACCTAAACCTCTGACCAGCTAGTGCATTAACATTACTTTCAGGTGGTTCTTTTACTAAAACAGTGTTATTGTCGTAATATTACCCATGACAAAGTATGAAGGGAATGATTGATTGTTTGAGCAGCCGTGCTGAAGGCTGCTGCAGGTGAGACACTTACACAGAGCACATAGGATGCAGTCTGTAAACACGAAGCCGCCCACAGAAAAGGTAAGGCAGGCTATCAAGGAACTGCTGACATCTGAAAAACAGTATGTAGCTGTGCACGTTTATTTTTCTTACGGTACTCCTGCCAGTGATACAGAGCACGGCACTAGTACTGACTCAGCACATCTGCCAATGTCTTTGGTTAACTTTGTGTTTAGTCATTTTATTAGGGTTAGAAGTGCAATGGAGTTCATCAGTCATCACTTTTGTTGTCGTGTCAACCAATTACTAAAAGCAGGCTTTGCTTGGTAACTGTGGCATTGAAGACATTGCTGTGCAGTTCAGACTACAGCTGTGTTGTCCTGATCAAATGATGATTGTCGTCTTTGCCTCATGCAGGTGTGAACTCATTCTGCAGTCACTCTGGGTCACTGGCATCCAGGTAGGAAGAGAAGCTAATAAATCTTTTTTTCTCTGCTTCACTTTTAAAGCACATCATACTGAAGAGATGCAGCACAGGCTGCATGTAACTGAGTGCATGGCACGCTGATCCTGTTGGGTTTTTCATTTGAGTTTGTTATTCTGTTTCTTCAGGCCCATGATTGTAATGTTAATGGGTTTCAGTTATTTGAGAGAACAGGAAAACGTTTGCTGATATAAATAGAAATGAGCGTTGTGCCTTTGAAAGTTCCCTTTGTGTTGTTCAGTATTTCAGAGGATGAGCCAGGTCCCCTGCAGAGCGAAACTGAGGGAAAAGGAGGGCCTAAAATTGGTCGGAGATTCAGCTACCTCCGCAACAAGATGAGCAAGAAAGTCAAGGTGAGAAATGTTTACACACAGGATGTGATGCAGCCACTTCTTCTTTTCTAACACTCTGACGTATGTTTGGAGATGACTGTAGAGCGTAACGCTGATGTGTCCATGTGTGTGCCCTGGCTGATAAAAACCAGGGTATTTCAGTTATATTCTTTATTTTTGCAAATGTATTGAAATGCTGAATTTTTCCATACTTTGTCAGGTGCATGAAGTATTCAGCACAGGTGAACATTTGACTGTGTTCACTGTGTTTTTGGGTAATGAAGCATTTAAAACACAGCATGCCAAACTTTGGTGGCTGTAGCTCAGGATGTTAAGCAGGTTTTCTGCTAATCGCGCGGTTGGTGGTTCGAGCCCTGGCTCCTCCAGTCTGCAGGATGAAGTGTCCTTGGGCAGGATACTGACCCCATGTTGTTCTCTGGTCCAAATGTGATTAATCGTTGGAATTGTGAATGGGTGATATATAAAGTAGTTCTAAAAGCAGCAGTCCATTGTAACTGCTCGCAGTTGGAGCTGTCAGACTGTTTGTTTGCGGGCAGTTCAGCATAGCACTGCAGACTGTCTGCATGTTGTATCTGTCAAAGGGGGAAGTGTCAAAATTCTGTGGGTTGCTGCAGAGAACACAGATGTCATGAAAGACAACTAGTTTGTAATGAAGTGAAACCAACTGTCTGTTCTTCATGCAGGCTTTTTGATAGTTTCTTTTTTTTAAGTCACAAAGAGCTCCATTGTGGCTCTCTTTCTTCTTTAAGTGAACTTTTCCGCCATGATTCCACCAGTACAGAGTCTTCACTGTCACTCTGCATGCTGGACTGCACACAGCCATGTGTGTGTAAGTTGTGTACTCTGTGACTAGGGATGCATACAAACTGACCCAAATATACCTGCAATATTTAAAGTTTTGTTTGTGAGTGGACTGGAATTTTTCTCATGGTTAGCAAAAATACACCAGATACTAATATAGTGCTTTGGACACCCGGACTATATAATGACTATATGATCTGATAATCAGATGATCTGTGGCTTGTAAGCCTGGCTGGGTCATACAAGCACAGTCAGGCTGACCCCACTGCAGCTACTTGTGGGCTACTGTGGTGAAGTCAGTGTGACGATAGTTTGTGGTTCACTGCAGAGCTGTGCAGTTACAGGTCTGCACATCAAAGCCGTGCGTGGGATGTTGTGTAAAATGGAAATAAAAATGCAGTGCAATGACTTACAAATCTTACAAATCTCTTAAAGTCATGTTTTATTCACAATAGAAGACAGAAACCATATCAAGTGTTTAAACTGAGATATTTTTATTATTCCATGAAAAAATCGAATAGTAAAATGTTTTTGATGTGCTGTGTTTGCCTTTTATCACAGGATGATACAGGTTATATGCCAAATATCAGTGTGGACACAGTGGCATTTGTTGGCATTTGTTAGAGGTAATTAGTCTGAGTTCAGACGAGTTTAATGTGACTCATTGTGCATTTCTCGTACGCAGCAGACCCCCTACCCAAAAAACCAAAGAGGGAACTGAATTTAAATAAAGTTGAAGTGAAACCAAATATTCAAATAAATGAATAACTGCACTAAAACTGAGACGTAACAATACAAAACCCTGCTGAAACTGTTAAAGGAAATCTGAAGCCAAAAACAGGAACGAAGTGTGACATCATACATCTCAGAAAAAGATTTATTTTTATCTAATGCCATCACATACGTTATGGTAAAATAGTGGCTTCATCAAGACGGACAGAACTCTGCAAAACAACCAGACAGACAGCAAAAGAGGAACTGTGTGTGTGTGTGTGTGTTGGCATGCAGAAATGAACAGTGCACTATCTCAATTCAAAGGAATGAGAAATGTCAGGTTTTGAAGTGTGTTGGTGTCTTTGCTGTTTTCAGGACAAGGAGAGGAGGGGGGAGGGTAAGCAAGAGAGCAAAGCACGAGAAAAGGCCCCCCTGTGCCCCCCCGGCTCCACGCTGTGTCAGCACAGCGGCAGACTCCTGTGCAATAAGGAAACGTTCTCCTGCAACAGTAAGGCCCTCGTAGCGCTGTCTTTCTGACACGTGCCAGCTCTCTTACTCTCCTGCTGCATTTCTGCTCTTTCCTTCCTGCTTTTTATTTCACCTCCAGTCTGGGATCACCACTTCCTCTTCTCCGTACTTCGTTATCTCCATGCGTTTTCACACCTTTGATAACACCATCATACTGCTCTGTGTAATAATGCTGTAGTTGTTTACATAGAAGTGGTTAGTCGTGATTAGTAGTGGTTAATAGTCTGGGCAGTCATCAGACAGCAACAGGGTTCTGTGTGGCTTGTGCTTGGTCCTCCTCTGCCTGTATGGTTTTTCACCCACAGTCCACACAGCTGCTGGGCTTGCTGTGGTAGGATCCACTCTGTACTTGTTTGGCCTTTAATAACAGGAACAGAACCAGCAGACCTCTTTTGTACCCCAGCCTTTACAGACAGAGCTGACTGGACAGTATTTGTGGAGTTGCAGACTTGAAGCCTCAAACTGAAGGAAAATACTCAGGGTAAGATGATGGAAGGTGTTGCAGGTACAAAGAAGCTGGAAAACTGAGCAAAAGAAAAGGTTAAAGCTGAGTGGGACAGTCCGGAGGAGGCAGCCAAACCTGGGGACAGAACCTGCCAGTTTTTCTGGCGGATGATTTTATGCTTGTTTCTTTATGGGTTTAGTTTTTCAATCATCAGCCATAAAAGGCTGATGGAGTACTGTTGTAAGTGTGTGGACGGCATGGATGCACAAGTGTGTGAATGTGATGACTTCAAAACGAGGCGAGGTATGAGTTTGACATTGATAGCATAGGTGTATCTGCCTGGAGGCTGAGGGGTAGCACTGACCAGCGCTGGTATTTCTTCTTCCTGTGAGCTGGACTGAAGCCATGGCAGCAGTCACTGCCTTCTGGTTTCTTTGCCTTTGCACGCAGAAGAGAAGAGTGTCAAAGGATGTTGTAGTGTTAAAGAGACGGAAATATCAAGGCTATAGCTGAATAGTCCAAAACTTCCTGTTCCACTTCACGGTGACCTTGATGGAGAAGGTCATGAGGTCAAGGAAGAGTGTTAAGGAGAATTTCCGAGGACCAATGAAGAGAAGCACGGTGCTTAGAGGCTCCAGCTGCACTCAGACTTCCTAAGAGAGTGATGCTGATGATGAGGCTCCTCCTTAGTGAACCCACCACAGTACATCCAGCTATGAAGTGAAATATAGCATGTGTGTCAGAAACGCTGCTGCAGAGATGAGCCACTGTAGCTCCTGACATTATGGCAGCTGTAAGAATAAAGCATTGCATAAATGTATGTGACCTGCCCTCTAAAGTGCTGTGAGGTCAGTAAGACATTAAAGTATGTGAGATGAATGTGGCACCCTGTGTGTGTGTGTGTGTGGTTGGGGGTGAATACACTAACATAGCTGTTTCTGTGCTGCCTGCAGACTGTGGGGTCCTCGTCAGTGACAGATCCACGGAGAGCCCGTCTGTCTGTGCAAAGAACAGAATAAAGGTAGGTATGGTACACAGACTCATGATGAATGTGTTACCATCAGGAATAACTGTAGATGAACAGCTAAACCACATGTTCTAATTTAGAGGTGAGGTATAAATCCATCATAAATGTATTTTACAAGTCTTCTTTAAGTTTAATCTGTCATGTTTGTCTCTATCAGCAAGCGGCGGTGCCAGAAGGCGTTCCTGGGTCGTCTGTTAACACGAGGAGTAAAAGTAAGAACACATGGAGAACTTTACAGAGGAGACACAGGGGAGCGAATCAACTAAAGCTAAAGACACTTTCAAAGAATCCTTTATATCAATCCGTCTAAAAATTCCCAGTTTCCCTCAGATTTGACTGGTGATTTTATCTGTATATGTCCTAGTGACCATTAAAATAAAGCTGTGGGTCTCAAGTCATTCATTTAGATACAGGTGCTTTAAAATAACTGCACAGCTGTGTTACTAAGAAAGCTGCTGAGTTTGAATCTATTCCACCACTCCCATGATCAGCAGAAGCCCATTAGCAAAAGAAGAGAGGTTTCCACGTTCTGTCGGTGCCGCACAAACGCACACTGTCCGCACTGCAAAGTGCAACACAACGTTAATGTACACATGTACTTGAAGACAAATTCCTGTCTTCACTCAGTGCTGTTCCTCTGTCAGGATAGAAAAAAGGTCCAGCTGTCACTCCAAAGCCAGCGTACAGTGATGGCACAAACACAGAACAAGCTTATGATTGAGTGCAGCATGTTTGACTTTTTACTCAGTTTGTAAAAGAGCAAGTCAAATAAGGACACTGGGAGGTAGCAATGCAGCATTTCTGAAGGAGCTTTAGTTCTCATCGAACTAAAGCTCTAAAGCATGCTTGCAACTCAGACCTGAGCAGACGGAGCACACGCAGAGAGAGGGAGCTGCTTTTGATTGGTAGACAGAGCTTCTGATGTCCCAGCAGTTCCACTGATAGACACCTTCTGGCTCATAGTATGAAGAAGAGAACTACAAAAGAACTAGATTGCTGCTTTTTAATGAGCAAATAATCAAATTCATTTTCTGTTTTGATATATTTTTATCTAGCTACATCTTCTACATCATCGCTGTCGTCAAGGTCCTCATCGTCACGTTGGTCAACAGTAACAATGCCCAACGACCACCTTCCTATGCTGTCTCCGAGAAGAAACCGCAGAACCTTCAGCCCTCACAGCAACCTGGCTAAGAGCATCTCCATTAGCAACATACCATCGTAAGACGTTACGACTAATTAACTTTGTTTCTGAAAATTCCCAGTTAGCTCTAAACGTCACGTGTACACACCAGCACAAGTGACTGTCTCAGCACTGAGCACACATGCCGTCGCTCGATGTACTCTTCACAGACGTGAAGACGGGTTTTTCTGTTCTTGTCACTAGAACTAGTGGCAGCTCCAAAGGCGTCATATTGTTCTTGCGACTATGTGATGTGTGTAGAAAGCAAAGCCATTAAAATCCTGCTCATCTTCATAGTTTTGTTCCTTCAGGTTAGACGATGCTGCACTCAAGCGCCTCAAAGTGCTGTCCCAGTCCACCGACTCTCTCCATCAGGGGAGCAAAGTCAACGCTTCAACTGAGTCTCTCACTGATGAAGGTAGAACACAACACACACACACACACACACACACACACATACACACACACACACACACATACACACACACAGTTTAGATTCAAAGAATGATGGTTTGAGCTGCTGTGTGTGTGTGTGTGTGTGTGTGTGTGTGTGTGTGTGTGTAGGTACTGAGATCACTGAGACCCAGCTGATGGAGTTTGAAAATGACATTAAAGATCTGGCAGCTGATTCTTGGAGCGGCATGGTGGATAAGAAGTTCTTGAAGTCCCTGAAGAAAGATGAAGTGAAGAGACAAGATGTCATTTATGGTAAACTGTGCTGTGACTCAGTAGGGAGTGACAGACTGCTGTCGGGGCCAAACATGGAGATAAGAGTGTTTTCTCTGCACAGAGCTGTACCAGACGGAGGTTCACCATGTGAGGACTCTGAAGATTATGTCGGAAGTGTATCACAAAGGCCTTCAGAAGGAGTTGCAGCTTGATCTTCAAACTCTGAACAAGGTGATCAAAGAGCAATTTCACCCGTCGACACGCTTGGGTACACACAGTATAACGACCTGTCTGTCCAACATTTCCCTAGATTTTCCCTGTTTTGGACGATCTCTTGGAGTTCCACACAGAATTCCTCTCATTGCTCCTGGAGAGAAAAAGAAATGCATCAACCGAGAGACAGAAAAGCAACAACTTCCTCATCTGCAGCATTGGAGACATCTTAGTTAAACAGGTGAGACGAGGACACGAGGAGGGTGTATGCGTGCGTGTCAGTGGTAAATAAAGTTGAAATAAATCCATTTCTGGTGGCCCTTACACTCCTCGTGTGTGGAGTGTGTGCTGTTGTCTTTTAGTTAAGTTCAACTCTAAGATATCTGTTTGGAAATCAGGGGTGTCGTTTGGTAGTGTCAGTGGTTGCAGTAAAGATCATGGCAGTCTTTCCATTAAGTTGCAGTTCTTTTGAGTTAATGGAAGAACTACAATATTCACAGCATGTTATGGAAAGCGCTTAATTTGCTTCCACCTTAAATGTGTTTACTTTCTTTTTTGTGACTTCTTAAATTCAGTTTTCAGGCTGCAGCTCTGTCCGCATGACAAAAGTTTATGGCAAGTTTTGCAGTCGCCACAACGAAGCCGTCAGTCTGTACAAAGAACTGCACGCCAAAGATAAACGCTTCCAGGCTTTCGTCAAGGTCAGAGCTGCTCTCTGTACACGCAGCACATCAGAGGACCTCACCTGCACTGTCTGGGATCTATGCATGACCTCAGTATCTTTGTGTGCAGAGAACAATGAGCAGCAGTGTTGTGCGGCGGCTCAGCATCCCAGAGTGTATTTTGTTGGTGACTCAGAGGATCACCAAATATCCTGTTCTGATCCAGAGGATCCTTCAGCACACCAAAGGTAAGAATGAAGACCCGTGGCAGCATCCACTGAGTCAAGCGCATCTTTCATTGTTCTTCAAACGTCACCTAAAAACTGTGCGGTGACACTGTGTCCAACATCTTTCCTCAGAACATAATTCATCCTAAACTCTTTATGAATCTCTGAACAGAGTCAGATAAGGAGCACGGCTTGGTTTCTGACGCGCTGCGCCTTGTGAAGGAGCTGATTACGGCTGTGGATAATAAAGTCAACCAGCAGGAGAAGAAACAGCGCCTGAAGGAGGTGTACAGGTACTCAGTAGTGTCAGTGATGGAGTTTGCCTACTCCTGGATCAGCTGATCACGTGGGTCATCAGAGCAGTTCATTCCTCCAGACAGTCGCCTCCCTGCCCACTCTTAGCTCAGAGCGCTCCACAAACGCTCCCAAACCAACGCCTGAAGTATACGTTACACAATGTCAACTGATGAACGCTGAATGATGAATAAGCTTAAAGGCTGGCTGATACCTGGGCTGTACCTTCCACATATATACCACTTTTCTAGTCGTGCTGACTGCTCAGAGCAGTGCTGATGTTCAGCCTGTGTTTTACTCTCTGCATGTAGTTTTAGATTTTTTCTGTAAGCTTAGCTTGCAGAAACAGCAGTGCTCTTAAATGTGCCTGAGTGTAAACCTTTAATGTCTCACTGCAGTCGCACTGACAGTAAGTCCATCATGAGGATGAAGAGTGGTCAGATGTTCGCTAAAGAGGACCTGATCAGAGGGAGGAAGCTGCTGCACGATGGAGCGCTGCAGCTGAAAAACTCTGCAGGAAGACTCAAAGGTTCATCACATTTGCATCTTTGGACCAAACCTGACGTGAATTTATTCCGACTGGAGCTCGCTGTAATATTTGTTTCTGTGTGTTGCAGAAGTCCACGCCATGCTCCTGACAGATGTGCTGGTCTTTCTTCAGGAAAAAGACCAGAAATATGTATTTGCCTCATTGGTAAGTTTGGCACTCGGCACATACATAAGATTGTACCCAAGGATTCGGTTTGATTTGGAGCCTTTGTTCCCAGGACCAGCGCTCCACGGTCATCTCCTTACACAAACTCATTGTAAGAGAAGTGGCAAATGAGGAGCGAGGTCAGTCTCCTTCCTTCTCTCACATCTTTTGCGGATTTCAGTCACTGTGTGATTCAGTCTGGCTTTTAGTCAGCACGAACCACAATGGTTTCATCAAGGATTGCCTCGTGTCTCCTGCAGGTCTGTTTCTGATCACAGCTGGCACAGAAAAGCCAGAAATGGTGGAGGTGTTGGCCAGCAGCAAGGAGGAGCGCAACACATGGATGGCCATTATACAGGACGCTATGCAGTGCATGTGAGAATACACACACACACACACACACACACACAAAGATCACTGGCAGATGCACTTCAAGTCCTTTATGCAGAAGTTTGTTCCTAACATGAAGGGTCAAAGGAAATAATATGTTTTACACAAGTGTAGTGGGTGCTCAGCACACAGCAGCGGTTAGCACGGTCTCCTCGCAGCAGTAAAGTTTTCATTTGAATCCTGGCTGAAGCCTTTTAGTCTGCATGTTCCCCCTGTGCCTACGTGACTTCCTCCCACAGTCCGAGCATGCGCCTCAGCTGCACTGGTGATTTTTAGAGGCCGTGGGTGTGAGGTGGATAAACACAAAGTAAAGTGCTGTATGGCTGTATGCTTTGATGTGGCTTGTAGGAGTGAGTAAGACTGCAAGTATGGCAGTCCGTTTACAGATGCTCCATTTCCAAAGTGTGGAGCTCAATTTGTGGATTATCTATTCAAAAAAGCAAAACTTTATTTCTTCCCTGCTGGAAGAAGTAGTGCTGCACAGTGTGAGGTCCCGTGGATAACACTGCCATCAAACTCTGTACATGATGTAGCATGGTGCATTAGACAAAGCTAAGCACAAGCACAGCTAAGTAATGCGAAAAAGGTCATTTAGGAAAAAAGAACAACATTTGACCAGTAAAGAAATCAAATACACGTTAAAACTGTTTGTGAAGCAGGAACAAAAAAAGATTAATTAGAATAATGATTAAATTAAAGTGCGATCGCCAAATTAAAAGCAGTTTAAGATGAAATGACTGACAATAATAACTGAAACCACAAATTAAAACCTAACAAAGAAGTAGAAATAAAATCTTCAGTATGGCAGACCTCTGTGCAGAGCTTGTAGGGCCTTTAAAATAAGCTTTTCATTTTTTATCTAGCAAATGAGTTCGAGCTGCTCTGTTTCCAGCAGTGCACGTTTGAGCGTTGTGAGCAATGTGGTACATTTATCTGAGCTGAAAGCAGAAGCTGGAGAGTATTCGAACATCACGCCAGGCCTTCATTTGTGTTCTGACAGGGAGAAAGATAAGGATGAGGGACTCCCAAGTGAGACGGAAGAAGACCGGAGACACCAGGAGAACAGAGCAAAGGAGATCCGCGGTGAGCAGCCGATGTTCCAGTTAACGTGCTGTAGTGGGCGGGGAGTCCCGTGTCATGTTGAGTGTGTTTGCATTTGTCCCTGATTCCAGAGCTTCTGCAGAGGAAGGATGAGCAGATTATCAGTCTATTGGAGGAGAAGATACACATCTTTAGAGAGCTGGGTAACTGCAGTCTGTCTCCAGAGGATGCTAACACATCGGTCATGGAGCGGATGTTGTTCAGAGCCACACCTGATAACGTCACCAAAGGAGAGCCGGTCATAAATGATGCTGTGAGAGAAGGTGAGCAGGCCTCTGAGGTTACTTCTCGTCATGTGCATCTCAGAGATGACGTGTTCAAACCTGTTCCTCTCTGTCAGTGGAGGCCCTGCATGCTTTGGTCAGCGGAGGTTTTGGTGCAGCGGCCTGCGGTCCAGGCGGCCTGACAGGGGGCGCCGTGGGACCAGTCTGCCTGCCCAGACGAGCGGAGACGTTTGGAGGCTTCGACAGTCATCAGATGAACAGCAGCAAGAGTAAGACACGAGCAGGTCATCAAAGATGTCAGGGCAGGTGTTCACGCTCCTGTGAGACCGACTCTGCCGTCATCACAGCAGCTGTCTTTATCATGACCAGCCTTTAAAAGCCTTCACCTCCTCTTACTGTCAGATGGAGAAAAGGAAGAGGGCGAGGAGTCAGTGGACCTCCGCAGGACTGAGTCCGACAGCGTGCTGAAGAAGGTAGGGATGTGTGTGTTTCACATAGGGTTATTCATCTCATTTAAGACGACTCATTTCTTTAATACGTTCCTGCAGATTTTACTGTGATGAAAACGAAATGTGCCTAACTGATCAAATGGGAAGAGGCATGGCTGCTATAAACAGAGTGGGAAATCCATATGTAATAAAGAACAAGATCAGCGCAGGTATTAGTGTTATGAAGTTGAGTCGATAGTGTAGTTGATAGTGTCAGTCAGAGCAGACATCGAAGGCTGCTTCTCTGACGTCACAGTCATTTTTTAAAAATGGAAATATGTGCGATAAATGTTTTTGCACAGCACTTTACTTTTCCCCTGTGAGCCATCAGAGGTTCAGAACTTTACCATCCTCTGACTTCTGCTCGCTGCAGTCCACATCCTGATGTTACCTGACCAGCACTTTGCAATGTGCTAACATGAACTGTGTGTGTGTGCCTCAGGGAGCCACTGCCAGCCTGCAGACCCTGCTAAAGAGAAACAATGAAGTAAGTGGGCTCCTCATTCAAACACAAACAGACACACTAGTACTACTCCATCACTTTAGCTACATCACACAGGACTTTTGATAAGGACAGGACAAAGAATATCTTTTACAAGAAAAGCTTCAAAACTGCTTTGAAGGTGATGCTGAAAATATGGACGTGGCTGTTTCATAAGAATACAGTTTCTGCTTCCTTTCTGTGATGAGCTGCCGTCACTGAGAATTTTCCAGTCTAAGCTTGTCTTCACTGACTGCTGCAGCTGTCTGCAAAGCCACTTCTTCTCTTCCTGTTGTTTAATGGTGTGCTGCAAGCAATTGTAGGTCCAGTGCTGCCACCTGCTGGTGGTGTTTACACATTTTATCTTCTTAGACACCAGCAGAAGGACAGAAGTTGTTGCATAAGCTGTTATTTTTTTCTTGACAACTGTGACCATCCCTAGCTCTTTCTACATGTCAGGAGGAAAATAAAGATGAACCCAGTCATGTGATGTACTGGAGGTCTTATTTGTATAAACAGCAGTTTGAGCTGTTTTTACTGACTCTGGTGTGATGGTGTGTTTCTCCAGCAGCTCCAGCGCAGTGTGACACGTCTCCATGAGCTGCTCATTTCCCTGCAGGTACACATACACGTTTACAGCAGAGGTCACGTTCAGGCTAAGTTTTCACTTTACATTGACCGTCTGTCCCTGCCTGCAGGCTGTGGTCATCCAGCAGGACTCATTTATTGAGGACCAGAGGCAAGCCCTGAGCAGCCAACTCAGCACCACCTCCTCCAGACAGTCCATCTCTTCCTCCTCCTCCTGCTCCTCGCTCTCATCCTCAACTAGCTCGCGCCCCTCCTCCCTCATTGAGCAAGAGAAGCACAGGAGTTTGGAGAGGCAGCGGCAGGAGGTGGCCAGCCTGCAGGTTAGCTCTCACTGCTGCTGCTTTCACATGTTGAGTCATGGCTGCAGTGAGCTCATCGTTCCATTGTTTGGCAGGATTCATGTTTTCATCCAGCTTCTTGTGACATCACACTTGTGGTTTGTTTTAGAAACAGCAGGCTGCACATCAGGAAGAAAAGAGGAAACGAGAGAGAGAGTGGGAGCTGAAAGAGAGAGCTCTGGCAGATCGGGAGGAGAGGCTGGGGGAGGAAGAGGAGCAGACGAGGCGGAAATGTCGGGAGCTGACAGAAGAGATGCAGATGTTACAGAGGAGCAAAGAAGAGTACCAGAGAGACGTGGAGTGGCTGAGGGAGGCGCAGAGGAGGCTGGAGAGAGACGAGGAGGCTCTGAGGAGAGACAATCAGAAGGTGGACGCAAATAGAGAGCAGGTCAGAGGTCATGTATGATGAAGGCGCTGCTAGTCTGATGCACTCGAGCAGCCTGCCTGTGACGACACTCGAGTGCTCGAGTGTCGTCACAGGCAGGCTGCTGTGTAGCTGTAGTCTCTGTGCACGCTCACCTAATCATCACAAATTAATCAGTAAACTACATGTCATGCACGCTGTAGTATTTTATGCACTGGATGTAGTGAATTCTGTTTTTCCATGTCTGCTTCCTCTTGCCATGCCAAGTTTTGGAGGTGGAGAGTGGAAATTTGGCATAATGACTCTCAGAGCCATGACAGAAGCTTCAAAAAGAAAACCAGTTGGTGGAAATGAACCGATAGATATCCTTCACCGTCTCACTCGCATCTTCATGCATGATCTAATCATTTTTGCAGTTGGAGGAGCTTCAGAGGTACCAGCGCACTCCCTCCACAAACTCAGACGACTCCTTAAGGTTCCACAGCACCGGGTCCCTGGATCTGGATTTAAAAGAAATAGCAGAACAAGCCAAAGAGGTAAGAACAAGGTCCTGCTTTAAAACCGCGTTTGTGTTAGAGTTTAGGAAGCTGCTGCATGAGCCCTTGAATGACTAATATTGTGGGTGAACATCAGGTGGAGCTCTCATCCTCCGCCCCAACCAAAGAACCTTTCCTCCGCATTGGATCCAAGAGGATGAGCAAAAACTTCAACCCCTTCTCCTCTAAGGCTCAGGGAGCAGAGAAGGAGTCCCAGCTCCCCTCCAGACTACTTCAACTGACCAAATCCAAAGAGAAGAAGGAGAAAAAGAAGAAAGGAAAAGGAGGGAAGGACGCGCAGACAGGTACAGTCAGACCGACTCAAAGTGAAGACGGTCATGGGTGGAGCGGTGTTCTGTGTACTGGTATCCTCCTACATAACTCTTGTGTTTGTCTTTAGAAAACAAAGGTGCAGTGATGTTGGATTCTCCAAACGACAGTGACTTCTTCATCTGAAGAGTGAACTCCTAACACCCAGTCGCACAGCTGACAGTGTGTGTCTGTCTCTGTCTGCTTGGCCCCAGACATTGCCCCAGCCTTCCCGTCACACAGACTGTACCATCAAAGGTCAAAGGTCGGGCAGGGTAACACACTGACTTAGCTGAAGTCTTTCCCAAGGTAACAGACTGCTCTGGAGACTATCCTGCCCACGCTCCAATAATGCCAAACTGGATGGATTCAGAAGAGTTTGTCCAGCAGCAGGTCCGAACATCGACAGCACCTGAGCCTGGAAAAGCTTAACTTGACCAATCACAAGCAAGATTTCTTTTAAGTGTTGCTGAAGCTAACTTTTGTTGCTTGTTGTGCACTCCTTACTTGTAGAACACACACACACACACACACACAGCAGGTTAAACCATCATTCATTGTGAATGAAACAGACCCCTTAAATTAAAAAATCTGTGTTTATTTGATCTTGAGCTGAAGTGCCTTCCATGTGTCTGGTACATCACTGGCAGCAGGTATACGTGTAGCAGCAGTTAATCTGATTTGTAACAAAGTACTGATGAAATGTACATTATACAGAGCTGACCCTGCACTGTTTACATGTCAGTGTAGCAAGCTTCCTGCTCATTTCATTGGTCCTTCATTTCTGCCCAAGCTATCATTTCAGACCCGGCAGCAACATATCTAAAGCATGCACTGACCCGGGCTCTCCCATCACAGTCACCAAACTCTTATACGCTGATTTAAATTCAACTTAAGATTTTAATAACGAAACTGGACATTTTATTAGACAGATGGTTCACAAACCCAGCCAAGAGTGAAATCAAAGAAGGACAACTGTTATATTAGAACACTACATACCTCTGCATGTGGACAAGGGTCCACTCTAACCCCCATTTCTATTGCCTTTATTCACCCTCACAAAGCCCTGCCGGTGTGCATAACACACCCATCATACACTGGACACCCACAGGCTCGTGTGCTCCATCCACCTGTGTGGGGAATGACAGTCGAGGTCGAGACATTGCTTTACTTACTGCTGCACTCACTTGTTATGTTTACTCTACATGAAGCTTAATATTCCTATTCTTTTTAATAGAAGCACCTGACTCTTACTAAACAGCCCAATGCTGAAAAGTGGAACAAACACGTGAGAAGAAGACTTCTGTGATACACACCACTGGTTTGAATCTGCTTGTGTGCATTCCCCTGTGTTGACAGCTGCTTCTCGTCATGACAAAAATGGCGTGTCCTTGCTGAACTGCTCCTCTTTGAACAACAGATAACAGAGCCATTACGAGGAAGCCAGTCAAACATGCCAAAGAGAAGAGTCCATTAAATATTCATCACTTGTGCTTCTGTTTTTCTGCAGCGTTATGTTTCCAGATAACTGGATTCTCCCAGTGCATCACACAGGGAGGCTCGCTCAGGGCGTGTACATGATTATATGTAGCCTTCAGTGTCATATTTCCGAGGGCGGGGTTAATGCAGCAAAAGTGCTTTAGCTCTGCTCTAACCAGGTAGTACTCTAACCAAACAGCAGAGGTGAGAACAAAAAAAACAAATAAAACCAACACTGAAAGACTGACACTCCTGCATTACACTTTCAAGCTCGTGGCGCTCCGTGACGCTGATGTAGTGTCTGCTCACAGATAACAGAGGACAGAGATGGCAGCACGGGATGCTCGACAGTGACAGCACAGTGGTTTAACAGAGACGTGAGGAACTAGTCAGCAGTAAGATCAGGTATATAAACAGTACATGCTAAATTGTGTAGTATTTTTACACCAGCAGCAGTCTGACCTTTGTTTACACGGTCTCTTTGAATAGAGGCTGACGAGATTTTGATGAGAGGCTAAAGAAGCATTTCTGCTAATATCCATTTCTTTTTAGTGCAGTAATTCAAAAACTGCAGAAATAGAGGTTTAAAAAATAGTTTTGCACTTGGATGGAAGTATGTGTGGGTGTAGTATATGAGCAGCAGGTAAATGACTGAGAAGAAACCATTAAGGATGATACATAACAAGCCCATTAATACATTAGTCATGTTTTTGTGTTGAGTGGCACAAATCATGTTAACCCTGTAAAGCCTGAACCAATCATTACTAGAAAATTACATTTATAAAACAAATGTAGTTCATTAAAACTACTGACAATTTTTCTTAAAGAACTTAAATATTATTTTGCATATATGTGGTTGTTTTTATTTAGGTTTTTTTTTACTATTTATTGTTGATTTGTTGAGCAAGTTATTTGTTTTTCGGCGGGGAGAAAGTCTCAAAGACTCATCTATCAAATATGAAACAGTTGGCATTATAGGGTCAAAGACACGTTTCACACTCACAACCAAACAGATGATCACTGATGGATTTTAGTGGAGCAGACACTCCAGCACCACCCACCCACCCACCACACAGCAGTACAGTGTTATCAGTGTACACTGATCCCTCAACAAACAAGCTCAGTCACTGACACTGCCTCTGTGTTGTTCCCGTGCACTAAAAATATTTCTAAAGCCATTAAAAATTAAAGTTTCACCATCTTTCTCGCTGTGTGTGGGATCGTCTTGAAAGGTTTTTGGAATAAAAACACGAGGTACAAAGTTTCTGTTTTATTTCCAAAGAAAAAAGATGGAGGCAGAGCAACACATTTTGTAAATATGTACAAATTTCAAGTGAGAGAAAAGCTTTATTTGTCTACTTTCTTCCTGATCTGGAAATATAATGTTCAATCCTAATAAATTACTATGCTATTGTCACTGTGTGGTTTTATGTACACGGATAGTATGTTAGCTGAGAGGAGACAGAGGAGTGAGAGCGATGTTGAGAAGCTCCTGGTATGCTGCATTCCTCCTCTCACAGGAGCATGTGGACCTGTGTTTCCACCGAGCTGTGTGACTGTAAATGAACTGGAATCATCTGTGCACCATTTCACTGAAAGTCACCAGAAGATCACTTTGAGTGAAAATGGATTTTTATTTTGTTAGTTAACATTAGAACAGGAGCAGTTTTACCACCATGTGCAAAGTGAAGTATTCAGTCATTGCCCCCTGACCAAGTTTCACAGCGAAACATTTTACTTGTGATGATGTTAAATCGTGTTAGCCTCTGTGTGTCCAGGGGCCCAGATGGGTCACCAGTGCAGGGCTGCCGTAGATGTTTATTCATTGAAAGTATTCGGTCTGATTGAGGTGCCCTTCCTATTCTGTGCTATACAAGGTACAGACGGGCTGAAAATCCTGCATTTGTTTTCTAGAATTTGTCCCATGATCCCTCTTTGTCTATCAAACCCTTAGGCAACCTCCTTAGAAATAACTCCGTATTTAAGGGCTCTAATCTTGAAAGCACAGTGCACAATATCTGTCTTTATACAGGCAGTTAACTACAGCACATCTGCATATTTGTATTAATTCAGACACTCTTTAGCAGCCACAAATGGGAGTTCACGTGCAGGTCCACCGGTCACAGTGATGGAGGTGAAAAGATGGAACAGAAAGGTAACATCAACAATTCAAGAAAAATGCAACAGACTCAAAAGTTTGAGTGCATTGTTGTTTTTAACAACCTCGGAGCTGCACGAGGTCTGTTTCTGAGGCAGTCACGGGCTGAGGTGGTGTTGAGTGATGGAGAGTGGAGAGGTAGTGGCATTTTCAAGAGAGCGCATGTTGTGACAGCAAGGCTGGATGAAAGATCGCTTGGACTGCTGTAAGTACCTGTGAGGTAATGTGAGTGAGTTAACGAGCTGGACCTTAAGGAACGCATTTGAATGATCAAGCAGCAGTGGTGCCAGCACTCATGCTGATCTGGTAGGGTTTTACCTACAACTTAAAGATCTATGATATGGAGATTTGGTGCTGTTGTAAAATGGTGTTTTGTAATGGAGACCAGGGGCTACACAACATTATTCCATGCATGTATTTGTTCTTGAATGAAGATACATGAAAACCACATGTATATTACTTGAGATATTTTATGAAAAACCGCTGTATGTTGCATTCTGTAAGATGTGAAACTAGTGGTTAAACCCACAAACTCTTTATTGTTTGTGATCTTTTTGCAAGCAGAGAGTCAGCTGCTGCAGCCGTTAATGTGTCATCTTCACTTTCCAGAGCCACAATGCCCATCTGTTTTCTAAATTGGAGCATGGGGTAGTCAGTGTAAGGCCATGTCTTTCACAATGTTTGGTTGCAAATCTTTAAACTGTCTATGTCAAAGTGAAACTGAGCGTTGCATAATCAACAGAAACATTTGCTTTTCAAAGACCAAGCGTTGAACCAGGGAGAGAAGAAGGAAACATGAGGTTTAAAAAAACCAAAACACAGCTGACCTGAGGCCTTATCCAGACAGCTTCAGGGTTACCCTGGGCTTCTATACTATGAAGGTGATTCACTTCTTCCGGGGCTACATCGCCATGGTAACGTTGCTGCTGTGAAGGTAACTTGCTCCGGAGCAGGTTAAGATCCAGATTAGAGATAAACAGGTATGAAATCTACTGACCAATCAGGTCTCCAGAAAGTAGCATCATGATTCCTGGAAGATCCCTCCGACCTCTGTGTGTGAACTCTACGGGGGATCTAAAGTTGTTGTTTTTTTAATCGTCTAATGTCTCTGGATTTCCCTGATGACCATCTATAATAAATAATTCGATTTTTGAGCGCAAAATTGTTTGTGACCCTAAAACATGACACCTACACAAATTTTCTGACCTGACATCTAATTTATACAAAGTTAAAATTCCGCTTTTATATTTAATCTTTACTCTCAAACCATAAACAGCAGCGACTCTGCAGCTGAGAGAGTAACACACATCACACCGTGAGCAGCAGGTGATGTTTCCGTTTAAAGTGGGCTCAGAGCACCATGTTTTCGCTGATGCTTGTATTCAGTCTGATGGATTCTCAGCCGAGGGACTATGTTTTCTGTGTGCAACTTGTTACTGACACCACTGGCACACTGCGTCTCCTCTAATGGGCTGTGAGACATGAGGCTCTAATGTTAAAATGAATCCAGTTTAAAGTTTCCCGGCTCCAATGGGAAGCCCTGGCAGTGCACGCAGTGATGAAACTGTTAACTGGAATGACAATATTTACTCTCTGCGCTAAATCACCAGATTAGTCATGTCTGTTTCTACTGTGTGGCTGTGATTTAAAGCCAGGGGATTGTTTTAAAATCAGAGTAGTGTCGACAAGCAGTTGTTGTGCTACCGTGTTTAAAGCCGCCTCTCTTTGTGTATGATTGCTCCTCGGGGGATTTCATTGGGGCTAGCTGTGTGGTTCGTACAACGACGTCGACGATGATTGGCCTAAGTAGCTGCCAGTCACGATAGACGCCGCTTCTAAAATCTCGCCGTGTGCAATGTTATTGGCTGAGAGTTTATCTCGAGGCTGGGGATTGGTGTTAGTAACGCCAGCAACGAGTCAGTCCAAAGTCATTGGTTGTTGGTTCCGCTGCAGTGTGAAGGCTTTCTTCCACAGCCAGTGAGACAGGCATCGGGCCAAGCTACCGAAGAAGAAGGAGAACAGGGAGAGGTAGTTGAGCTGCTGTGAAGGGAGTGTGATGTTTGTTCGTGAGCGGAGACATGAAACTTTACACTGCGTGGATTTAACCTGCAGCTGACGTGAACGTGAGTAGCAGAGCTTCCCTCTGGCACTGCTGTGGGAGCCAGACCGTGGAGTGAGTGGAGCTTTGTCAGTTATTGTTCTCACATTAGCGTCAGTGCTTCAGCGGCAGAGCTGTGTACGGTCAGCTTGCGAATTCGTACGGACTCGAAGTGTCTGTGTCATGTGAACGACAAGCTTTAAGACAAGTGTAGGCTGCTCGCAAAGGTTCTCAACAGCACCCAAGTTGGTGCATAGCAAAGCTAAATGGAAGCCATTTGGTCCAGTGCCATTCCAGCGGAACGCGATTTTTCACATTTGAAATTCCGGACAGGTCTATGGAAGTGCATGTTCGGCTGCCCCACAGGCAGGAACCGGCCTAAGCACATCCACAGCCTGGAGCTGGTGGCCCACTGGGGGCATGTTCACTGACGGCTAACTAACTCCGTGGCCTCAGATCCTGCTGGACTAAAGTGAAAGTTTTCGTCTTCTGTCAGGGAGCTCTTTGTTTCTCGGAAGCTACAGCAGCTCTGCCACACTCTCTCAGGACCACGTTTGTCTTTTGTAACTATTCTCCGATTATGCAACACTGTTGCTCAATTATTTAACTTGTGATAAATGATTGAAGCAGGCTGAGCTGCACACATCTTTAATGTTAGCAGGTCCATGTCAGGCACCAGGGTCAGCAAACAGAGTCAGCATGAAAGATGTGAGTGCGCATGTGAAGACTTGGTTTATGTTTCATGTATTTGATCGGTATAATTTGTGATATGTGATCTGTTTTTATTGATTAGCCTGTGAGAGTTAAGCGGCTGTATCAGACAACACTTTGAACTCTGAAACGTTGTATTTGTCTCTCTGACCTTAGAGACAGTTTGAGACAGAGGCGAGGGAGAGTAGATCTATTAGACAGAGGATGATGAAGATGGAGCTGCCAGGCAAGAGGAAGACCTCAGAGGTGGTTCGTGGATTTAGTGGAGGAGGATGTGCAGAGGGTTGTTGTGACAGAGGATAGTAGGTAGGGAGGGGAAAGATGGAGGAGCTGAAAGGAGAGAAGGAATGGTTCCTCACCTCACAATTGATTTTCTAGAAAATTATTTGGATATTTAAAAAACGTAAAGTTCAATAAATTTGACCTAAAGAGTTTCTTTTTCTCAGAGTTTGTAGCTTGTGTCTTACAGCTGACCAGCTCTCTCCCTTTTATCCTTTGTCTCTAAATCATCTGAGACGTAATTACTTCCTTTTTGTTCTAAGAAAAACTTTTGGAAACCTTTGGCTTCTAATTTCTTCTTCAGTTTCTTGCACATAAAAATTCTGGGTGGGCCATGCTGATGTGGATGTCAGTCAGTATTTACTCACTAAGCACATCGAAGTTTTTGGTAAGTTGTTTAATAGGTTGTGCTTATGTCAAAGCCATTTAACACACAGAGTTACTAACAAAGCCAAGCTTGGCTGCAGTACAGAAGGAAACCTTTGATTGTCTTAACTCATAGCAGGCATGGATGTGTGCTTTTTACTTAGCTGTCCAGGTGGGTAAATGGGAATTTTAATAACCTAAAAATAACATGGACCCGGCCCCCAGGAGAGGGCTACTTGTTAGTGAATCACTTGCTCAATCAGACAGACACACAGAGTGGCTCAGGGCAACAGATTCAGCTATGTTAGTTATGGGTAAACAAGCTCAGGCCTACTGACTGCTGCTCTCTTTAAAGCACTCCATCTATTCAGCCTCTGTGTTGATATTCCACTGGTGAACGATACGTGTGTGTGTGTGTGTGTGTGTGTGTGTGTGTGTGTGTGTGTGTGTGTGTGTGTGTGTGTGTGTGTGTGTGTGTGTGTGTGTGTGGTGAGCTGTTTGAATGTGGAGTTGGTATGAGCCTTCTGTTGGGCACACATGCTGTTGCCTGGATTCAATACTGCCTTTATGTGTCCAAGAAACTCAGCTAATCTGGACACACCGACCCACATTCAGCACACTGCGCCTGTGCACAAAAACCCTTTCACCCATCCACGCTGGAGCCCCTGCAAAAACCTTCTGCACTTATAAAAACTGCACTTCACACTGTAAGGATCCATCTGCCCAAACATACTCTCACCACTGCTTCATGTACCAGCAGTAACACGTAAATACCAGCATGCATCTGTTTTTAATGAGCGTG